CCCACGGAGTATCCCGAGCCGTCGGACGAACCGTCGGACGAACCGTCGGACGAACCCACGGACGAACCCACGGACGAGCCGTCGGACGAACCCACGGACGAGCCCACGGAGTATCCCGAGCCTTCGGACGAGCCGTCGGACGAACCCACGGACGAGCCCACGGAGTATCCCGAGCCGTCAGACGAACCGAGTGAAGACCCGACGTCGAGCCCGTCGGATGGTGACGTGGCAGTGTACTACCAGTGCGGTGGTCTGAACCACAAGGGCTCGACGACGTGCGAGGCTGGCAGCCACTGCGTCAAGTTTAACCCGTTCTACTACCAATGCCGCCCCGACAGCGAGGCCGCCGAGGGCCAAGTACCTGCGTTTGGGCAGTGCGGCGGCAAGGACTTTATCGGCGCGACCAAGTGCGTTGAGGGGTACCAATGCGGCGAAATCAACGAGTACTTCTTCCAGTGCCGCCCCGCGGCCGAGTATGGCGGCAACCGCCGTCTCCGCGGCATGTAGCTGTACCGATCTCGTAACCCACGTAAACCAATATGATATCTGTTGGCGTATCTTTGTCTATCCAAGTACCAGGGTTCCTAGTTGACCTCGTGGACATTAGGGGGGCCACGCGTGCTGAAACACTGGGGTCATGCTAGCAGAGAATCATTTACGTCAAACTGGCATTGATGTCTGGCCGACTGTTGAGCCGCCTGTAGATGTCTGGTCTACAGAGCCATCTGAGTTGAAACCGTCATTCAAAAACGAACGGTCCGTACGCTTTGAGACCCATCACAGCATGCAGCATGGCACTCGTCACATTTGCACTAGCAATCCGTGTCCTCCGGATGACACGCGCGTCAACGGGCACCGTTGCCGACGCTCGAGACCACCAAATCACTCACTATTCAAATGTCAGTCGTTTGGTTGACATCGATAGCGCGTGACGATAACGACAAGTTGGAAGAAGAAAGAACAGTGTAAAAAATTGGATAAGACATATAGGTAAATCGACTATCTACATGTTTAGACGCGGCGCAAGCGGCTCTTTTGGATGCGGCCCGAGACGACGCCGTTCGAGGTGCGATAGTTCTCGAGCTTGCTCTTGAGCCAGCACGTGCCGCCGTTAATCGAAAAGCCGACGCAGCCGCCGGTCGACGAGCACCCGTTGCAGCACTGCGACAGCTGCGAGTTGGCGTCCCCGTTCACCTGGAAGTTGCGAATGTCGTTGCCGTAGTAGTCGACGTTGGACGCGACGCTGCCGCACTGCGCCGACGAGCCGCCGCCGTTCGACGCGCCGTTGCCCGTCGCCGAGAAGCAGTTGTCGCGCGGCGACGGGTTCTCGAGCTTGCTCTTGAGCCAGCACGTGTTGCCGTTGACGGTAAAGCCGTTGCAGCCACCGGTCGACGAGCACGCGTTGCAGCAAGCGCTGACCTTGTCCTGGTCGTTGCCCGAGACCCAGAGGTTCTTGATGTCGTTGCCGTAGTAGTCGACGTTGGCCTGGACATTGCTGCACTGGCCGCCGTTCGGGAGCGGCGCCGGGCCCGAGCCAGCGTTGGCAGCGGAGAAGCAGTTGTCGCGCGGCGACGGGTTCTCGAGCTTGCTCTTGAGCCAGCACGTGTCGCCGTTGACGGTAAAGCCCTTGCAGCCACCGGTCGACGTGCATGCCTTGCAGCACGCACTGACCTTGTCCTGGTTGCTGCCCCACACACCAAGGTTCTTGATGTCGTTGCCGTAGTAGTCGACGTTGGCCTGGACGTTGCTGCACTGACCGCCGTTCGGGAGCGGCGCGGGACCCGGCGCGGGGCCTTGCCCGTTGCCCTTCAGTGGCACACAGTTTTCTACAGAAACGCAGAGTTAGCTTCGAGTCCGATCCAAGGGCAGTGAGAACGTACTGTAGACTTGCCACATGGGCTCGTGCAGCGCGAGCCAGTAGAAGCGAAGCATGCAGCCGTTGGCGCCGCAGCTCGAGTAGTCGACCGGGAGGTTGACTTCGGGCGACTGGGGAAAGTTGGTCGCGCAGTCGTCGTTCTGGAACACGCGCTCGTTGTCGATCCAGACTTCGCACGGCCCCTTGTGGCTCGGGATGAAGCCTTCGCCCGTGTCGGGGTTCTTCCACGTCATCTGGCCGTTGCCCGGAATGGCCTTCTTGTCGACGTTGGTGAGCGTGTAGCCGCAGTCGGGGCCGTGCGGGTCGAGCATGTCACGGAGCGTCTTGAACTGGGACTGGGCCTTGAACGCCTTGTTGAAGTTGGCGACGTTGGTCTGCGGCGAGTCGTCAAACTTGCCGGGGAAGTTGGCCTGGATCGTGGCAACGTACTTGGTGCGCATGACGTCGGACCGGAACTCGGCCGGTGGGTTGGACACGATACCGTGGCCCGAGATGAGCGGCGCGGCAAGCGCAAGGAGCGTCGTGGCGAGCTTCATGACCATGATGCTGTTTGTGGTCGTGGTGGTCGTTCAGAGCAAAAGGCAAAGTGAGCTTCGGTCCGAGATGTGTTTGATCGAGGGTGATCGCGGTTTGCCAATGTCTCTGAGGTTCGATTAAGTAGCTTCAGTGACACGCTGGCCACCAAGTCGCGTGACTCACACGTTCCGCACTGATTCCGCTCTCAATTGCATAGTCTTTTTGTATACTGGGTAATGTGGCAGGTCCCAGGACAGGTACAGAACGCGCTGCGACGTTGCCATGCACCCGCCGACCACGTTCGCTTATCTGCAACCGCTGAGCGCTCGTCGTTTTTTTGTTTCGGGCATTATTCCGCTTTGCCATTCGAGTTGCACTGGAAGACGCATGCACAGGGAGGCCTCTCGATCTGGACCCTAGGCTTCGCATCGCACGCAGCGAGGTGCTAGCTGCGAGTTCGAGTCAACCACGTCGCTCGACCAAGCACATGTGCAATGTGATGATCGCGACCCGTGAAACCAGCTGTGTTGGAGCACCAGATGGTATCAGACCAAGACCAGCGCCCAGACAGCAATGGCAAGGACGATCGCCAGCTTCAGAACGTGCAGGCTGGGCCAAGGAAATCAAGCGGCATCCAAGAAGCTTCGACATAGCGTGTCAAACGCGACCCGATCATTTTGGCACCTCGTCGTCGATCGACACACCGGCGGCGAATCCGGATACGCTCGTATTATGCGAGCGGTATCGCCGTTCATTCGGCTGCTCCAGCTCAACGACGATGCGTCGCTACCAAGGCGATATCGACTCGTCCAGCGCCAAAGTGTTTGCTGTACCGGTACTTGTGATAGGACCGCCTAGGATGGCTACTAAATCCTGGCACGAAGATACACAAGAGGGTCGTAAATTTAGTGTGTTTTGCGGGTTACCGACACTGCTAGCGATGAGCAATATCCGATTTGCGGTGACGACTTGGGTGTATTAGCGGTACAAGTGGCTCGAGCTCTTATGCGCAGCGCAGTTCGCTTTGCAGCAGCGAGATTCACCACGTGCAAAGTGAAAAGCCAGGTCCCATGTCGCGGCCAAGTCGACGACGGCGTTATCGTCGACGACGTCATCCGCTCCGCATCCAGCATACTAGTATAGTGAGCCTCGCGCAAGGGCATACACTGTATTCGTCGACGAATGCAGCTCGAGTGTCTCCGTACTAGTATCCCGTCGCTGGGGTGTTTGCATCGTGGCACAGATTCACACAGCGGTTCAAACACTGTATGTAATACTGTCTCACTTCCAAACAGTATTTTGCTTCATACACTATTTGCGACATCAATATCCTGCCGACGACGCATGGGCCGGATGAGCGACGTGTGGGGCAAGGGCAGCAAGTGGGTCGGCGGGCTCGAGGTCTCGCGCAACGACAGCCGCCTGTACCGGTCGTTCCAGCTGCCCAACAAGCTGCGCGTGCTGCTGGTCTCGGACGCGGCCACCGAGAAGGCGGCGGCGGCGCTGGCCGTGGGCGTCGGCCACCAGGCGGATCCGCCCCACGTCGCTGGCCTCGCGCACTTTCTCGAGCACATGCTCTTCCTCGGCACGGCCAAGTACCCGGACGAGACAAGCTACAAGACGTATCTGAGCGCGCATGGCGGCCGCTCGAACGCGTCGACGTCGGCGATCGCGACCACGTTCTACTTTGACGTGGCGCCGCCGCACTTGCACGGCGCGCTCGATCGGTTTGCGCAATTCTTCATTGCGCCGCTCTTCTCAGCGAGCGCCACGAGCCGCGAGATGCACGCGGTCGACGCAGAGCACGCCAAGAACGTCCAGGACGACGCCCGCCGGCTCTACCAGCTCTCGAAAGAGCTCGCGAACCCCGCCCATCCATTCCACAAGTTTGGCACGGGCAACCTCGAGACGCTGTCGACGCGACCGACCGATCTCGGCATCGACGTCCGCGCCGGTACGTCCAAGCGAATATGCATTCATCAAGAGCGCCATGAACGAACATGGCGTAGAGCTGCTTGCGTTCCATGCGCGCTACTACTCTGCGAACGCCATGCACCTCGTCGTCTATGGCCGAGACGACCTCGACACGCTCGAGCGCTGGGCCACCTCGCTCTTCGCACCGATTCGAAACGACGTTGCTCGGCCGCATGCGCCGCGTACGTTGATGTCTCTCTGCAGAGGTCTCATTCAAGCACGGCCTTTTAGCAGCAAACGTGCAGCCGTACGAAGCAGCGCAGCAAGGTCGGCTCGTCTCGGTCGTCCCCGTGCGCGACCTGCGGACGCTCGAGCTCACATTTCCGCTGCCGTCGCTGCAAGCGCACTTTCTCGACAAGCCGCATCGTGTGCTCTCGCACCTGCTGGGGCACGAAGGCGTTGGGTCACTCTGCGCGGACCTCAAGGCCCGTGGGCTTGCGAACGGCGTCTCAACCGGTCTCACGCGGGACTATGCCGACTGGTCGCAGTTTAGTATCAAGATCCAGCTCACGCCAACGGGACTGGACGCGATCCCAGAGGTGGTCGAGACCAGTTTTCAATACATGGCACGTATCGCCGCCGCCAGTGACGACGTATTGCAGCGTATCTTTGACGAAGCGCAGACGCTCAGCATGCTCCAGCTGCGCTACCGCAACCAAGAATCGCCGATCTCGTACGTGTCGTACCTCACGCGCAACCTCACGCTGTTTCCGACCGAGCGGGCCGTCTCGGGGCCATATGTCCTTGATCGGTTTGATGCGACGGGATTCCGGCGCGTTCTGCACCTGCTCACGCCGCACCGACTGCGCCTTCTGCTCGTGAGCAAGAGCTGCGTGCCAGAAGCAACCGAGCCGTGGCTGGGCGCTCGCTACAGCGACGCGCCATTGGACCCCGATTGGATTGCGCAGTGGGAGTCGGCGACCTCGTCCAGCTTGCCAGACGCGCTGCAGCTGCCGCGGCCAAACCCGTTCTTGCCGTCGCAGCTGGGCTTGGTGCCCGAGACGACAGCGGTGCACCTCGTGCTCGATGCCCCGACGATCCGGCTGTGGCACAAGCAAGGCACGGGCTTTGCGCAGCCCAAAGCCAGCGCCCGCTTCAAGTGGTACACGCCGACAGCGTACGCAACGCCGCTCGCGGCCGTGCTCACCGAGCTCTACACGCTCTGGCTCGACGATGTGCTGGCCACGTCCCTCTATGACGCGCACGTCGCTGGCACCAAAGTCCACGTGTCCAACACGATCGCGGGCGTGACGCTACACGTCGCAGGCTACAGCGAGAGCCTCCAAAGTGTCGTCGACGCGGTCTGGGCCCACCGGTTCACGCCCATGAACCACGACAGTCTTCGCCGGCTCCGCGAAGCCCTGGAGCGCGACTTGGCCAACACACTCATGGAAGAGCCGCACCGCTGGGCCGTGTACCAGCGGCAATTAGCGCTCACGAGCACAAAGTGGTCGGTCGAGACCAAGCTGCGCGCACTGCAAGCCGTCCCGGACGACGACCTGCCGCGTCTCCTCGCTGCCCACGCTATCGACCTCTTCACTGACCCGCGCGTCGAAGCGCTCGTGTACGGCAACCTTCTCGAGGTACTTGCCTCTTGACAGCATTAGAGATATACTTAGTAAGTTGCGTGCAGGACGACGTCCAGCGCCTTGTCGAGACAGTCCATACACCGAGCGCAGCGAGTGGTGCGTTTGTGCAAGACGTGCTCGACACACGCAACTTTGCACTGACACGCGACGACGTGCTGCAGCTACCGTGTCTCAACGCCGCCAACGAGAACGGCGCGACACACGTAGCGTTCGAGTGCGGCCTCGACTCGACCGAAGCGCGCGCGACCTCGGCGCTTTTGGCGCAGGTGCTCAAGGTGCCGTGCTTTACGACACTGCGCACGACCGAGCAGCTCGGCTACATCGTTTCGAGCAGCGCGGGCTGCAGTCATGGAGTCGCGTACATCTACGTGACGGTGCAGTCGAAAGCCAAGACGCCCGATGAGGTGACGGCGCGGATCGACGCCTTCATGTCGGGGTTTCGCGATCGGTTGGCGGCCATGCCGGACGACGAGTGGGCCAAGCACAAGGCGGCGCTCATCGGCAACCTCCTCGAGCAGCCCAAGACGTACGAGGAAGCGAGTGCGCGCGTCTGGGACGAGATCGCGTCGCAGTCGTATGCGTTTGACCGCCGGGCGGACGTTGCAGCCGCTGTCGACGCCCTCTCGAAAGCTCAAGTGCAAGACATGTTGGACGACCGGCTTGTCAACACGGTGACGCGCAAGGCGCTCTGGACGCAGGTCTGGCCAATTGTCATGACGCATGACGCGTCAGCGCCCTCGGCGCTCACCTCGATCGAGGCGTTCCAAGCCGACCGTCATTTGCACCCTGCACGCACCAAGGGCTCGGTCCTTACAGCCAAGCTCTAGGTCTTTCCGACGGGTTCCGTGGGAAATCGATAGTACATTGATAGCCCAAGACAATATACGTCACGGATACAACACCATGCCTCCTGCATTCGATGCGAGTTGTCATGCACAAGCACTCACCGGTACGCATGCTCATGAGCCCCAAGGAAGGTAGAGCCGGCAGAGGACCTTCGGTGTCCCTGCCATAGGTGCCAAAGGTCCATCGTGCGGGTCGGTGCTGGGACACTGCAACAGTTTGGTCTTTTGACTTTCTCATTACCTGCATCGACAGGAGGCGACTGTCTTAGAGCTTGGCGTTCTGGGCAGCAGCGATGAACGCGTCAACGCACTTGTCGACGTCGTCGAGCGAGTGGGCGGCCGAGAGCTGGACGCGGATGCGGGCCTTGCCTTTCGGGACGACCTAGTACCACGTTAAACTATCGCAAACGACACAGTGGAGACGCGAAGAACGCACCGGGAAGCTGAAGCCGATGACGTAGATGCCTTGGTCCAGCAAGCGGTCGGCCAAGTCGGTAGCGGCACGGGCGTCGCCGAGCATCACAGCCACGATCGGGTGGTCGCTACTCGTTGCTAAAGTTGAAAGATTCAAAGTTGGCGTCGCACCGAGCACCCGTGAGGGTAAATCCAGCGGCAGTCATGCGGTCGCGGAAGCGGTGTGTGTTGGCGCGGATCTTCTCCACATAGGCGCTGGACCGCGTGAGGATCTCGAAGACCTTGAGCGAGGCGCCGACAACGGCCGGTGCGACCGAGTTGGAGAAGAGGTACGGCCGCGCGCGCTGCCGGAGGAGGTCGATGACGGCTTGGCGGCCCGTCGTGTAGCCGCCTGTGCCGCCACCGAGCGCCTTGCCCAACGTCGAGTTGATAATCTATACTCGATAAGTTGATACAAAGCCAAGATGCCGTACGTCGATGCGGCCGCGCACGCCGCAGTACTCGTCGCTGCCGCGGCCCGTCGCACCAAAGAAGCCCGTCGCGTGGCACTCGTCGATAAACACGTGCGCCTTGTACCTATATCAAACAACAGTCGAAACGCTGGATTCGAAAACAGAATCTCGCACTTGTCGGCGAGATCGCAGATGCCTTGGAGCGGCGCCACGTCACCGTCCATGGAGAAGGCGCCGTCGGTCGCAATGAGGCGCGTGCGGCAGTGCTGCGTCGCTACGAGCTGCGCCTCGAGGTCGGCGAGGTCCATATGCTTGAAACGGAAGCGCTGCGCTTTGCAGAGGCGGATGCCATCGATGATGCTCGCGTGGTTGAGCTCGTCCGAGATGACGGCGTCGTCCGGGCCCAAAATGGCTTCGAAGAGGCCGGCGTTCGCATCAAAGCACGATGGGAAGAGGATCGCGTCGTCCGTGCCGTGGAAGGCAGCGATCGCAGCCTCGAGCTGTTTGTGGATGTCCTGCGTGCCGCAGATGAAGCGCACGGAGCTCAGGCCAAAGCCGTGCGAGTCAAGCGCCGCTTTCGCCGCGGCCACGACCTCGGGGTCGTTGCTGAGCCCGAGGTAGTTGTTGGCGCAAAAGTTGAGCACGTGGCGTCCGTTGACCGTGATGGTGGCGCCTTGCGCAGAAGAAATGACCCGCTCCGTCTTGTATGTGCCCGCGGCTTTGATGGCGCGGACCTCCTCCGAGAGGCGCTCGAGCAGGCTCATCGTAGTACTGCTCGAATTGACGACTGACGACGCCAGTGACGATCTTGCCGTTTGGAGTTGCACTTTCTTTTAATACGTTTCTTTTATTCCACAGTCGGTCTTTTAAGGGCGTGGAGGAAGATAGAGCGTGGGCTGACCACGGCCCAGACATCGCAAAGTAGATTGATAGACGTCACTCAAGTACAGTGTAACGGGGATACGCTGCATGGAGGCCGCCGATTCCGTGGTTGTGGTATGCCATGGACGCGACTGAATAAAAGAACGAATAAAAGAACTGAAGCCTGTGAAGGCAACCGCACATGATCAGCACCGATCTTTGGCGTTTATACTATTTGTTGTCACGCATATGGTGTGTGAATGCAACCTTTTTTGCTTTCTGCCATTTGTACATAGTGACAAGCACGTATTTTAAAAGCTATGTTTCCGAGTGGGCGTCGTTGCTCACACGATTTATAAAATCACAAATAGCGTAATAAAACTGTAAACATATTAATAATCCAAATGCCGTCATATCACTTGAATAAAGTATGCATTATTTCTTGTTGGCGCGATGGGATTTAAAATAGTCGAGGCAATACAGTCACCACACCCTCAGTACTTATTTTGTCTGGCTGGCCATGGCTCTGCGGTTGACGGGGAGCAAGCTCGTGGGCACGAACCCTGCCGTGACGCTCTACCGTCATATCACCAAGCAGGTCCCGCGCGTTTTGACGCTCTATGACATCAACATGGAGCCGCGGGAAGCCCGCCTCGCGGTCCAAGCCTTCTTCCGCAAGCACGCCGAGATCAAGGACCCGCGCGTGATCGACATGCTCATTAGCAAGGCCAACATGGAGCTCGAGGAGACCTTGATGCAGTGGAAACAGAAGTCGCACTTGCTTACGCTCCTCGACAGCGGCGTCAAGCTCCAGAACGAGAAGAACGTCGTGTACGACGACTTTGAGGAAGGCCTGGACAACTTCTTTGCGGGCATCGACACCAACCACGACGAAAAGTAAACATTCGACCCACGACGACAGCAGCGACGGCTAGCCACGCGTACTCATGCGCGCTGCCGAGCGTTAATACATGTTATTTGGGCATCTCATCGTCTCGAGGCGGCAAGTGCAATCTCAAAGGGCAAAGTCCACCGACCCTGTCAAAGGCCATACATCCCGTGCTGTATACGTGAAGCAAGGCGATGTGAGTACTTTGTAGCATCGACGGGCCCTTGGTCAAGCAATGGGGCTTAGAGTAGTCACGCGTGTCGACTCTACCTCGTGGCAACATGACGTTGCGTCTCGACCCTTGGGGCTACGAACGTTCCCGTTGTCTTGTCCGCTCCTGCACCGTCATCTGCCGAAAGTGCAAGTCGTATCGTCGCTGCCATCGAAGTCAACACGCGCCGTGGTCACGCCGAGCAGTGCGTCGCTGGCGGTAGAGTCCATCGTCATGGCTGTTGTGCAAATTCGAATCAATTTATACACACTTAATTTACGCCAATAAGTACGAGGTGGTGAGAGGCGAGGTAGAACTACGACTGCGTGCGTCGTGGGGTATAAAGGCCATATCGTCGTCTTCTTCGGATCATCCTATTTGTCGTCGTGCTCTCTTCTACTCGACCGCCTTGTGCACTTGCATGCGCACTTGGCACTGCGTGTCGTACGCCGTCTTGAGCAGCTCCTGCATCGTGAGCGCCGCTTTCGCCGCGTCCATCTCGGGCGGCGGCGGCACGTACGACGGCTCGGGCGTGACCGCAAGCGTCGAGCCGCTTGCCTCCGGTCGCAGCATGCGCGCCGTGTTGGCCTCGATGCCGCGGATCGCGAGGTCGGCCAAATTCTGAAGGAAAATGAGCTGGTCGCCCGTGAGCTCCTGCCGCGGCACTTGGTCGGCGACCGAGAACGACCCGACGTAGTGGCCGTCGCTTGTCACGAGCGGCACGCCGGCGTAAAAGAGGATGTTGCCGTCCGTCACGAGCGGGTTGTTGACGAACCGGACGTCTTGCTTGGCGTCAAGGACGACGGTCGGTGACGCGCTCATGATCGTGTGCGCGTCAAAGAGAATGTTGCGCGAGACCTCGCGCTTTGCGAGCCCCAAGCGCGCGAGGAGGTAGCCGGTCTTGTCGCCGATAACGCAAATCGCAGCGATCGAGCACGACAAAGTCGTCGCCGCCACATCGACCATGTCCTGAAACTGGTTCTCCGGGTCGGTGAGGTGCAGCGACCGGACCTTGGCGAGGCGCGGCACTTCGTTGCGGGGCATCGGCGCCTTCGGCCACTCCTGTCGGGACGTGTACGAGAGCGCGTACGAGAACGTAGTGTTTTCACGGATGCTCGCGGGCTTGTCCTTGGTGAGCATCACCATGTCGCTCGAGCTGCCCGATGAGATGGCCGACGCGACCGTCGACGCCGACGTGTCAATGGACGAGAGCAGAATCATGTCGTTGGCGCCGCCCGCCGACGACGACTGCGACGAGTACGAGGCCTGCGACGCGTAGTAGTTGTGCGTCGGCGTCTCGCGCTCTTCCATGATGATTGGCTGCTTGGCTTGCTTGGTGTTGAAGTCGGCCGAGACTTCCTCTTCGTGGTACGAGTACGCCGACTCGGACGACGCGACGCTCGAGCACGACATGGACGACGAGAGCATGGACGGCTTGGACGCTTGGCGCTGGAGGCCCGAGCCCGTCGAGCCGCGCGACATCGAGTTGGTCGACGCCGACGTGCACTGGAGGCAGATGCGGACTTCCTTGTTTTGGCCGTTCTGGCGCACAGTCTTCATGTTGGAGCACTTGCCACAGACGACGTCGCCGCAGATTCGGCAGTGTTGCTTTCGCCGCAGCATCGTGAACTTCGTGAGGCAGATGAAGCAGCAGTGGCCGTCCTTGGAGAATTCGTTCTTGTTGAGCAGCGTCTGCTCGCTGAGGTGCTTGGTGATGAGCGTGCCAGAGATGTCGGAAATGCACATGAGCATCTTGGTCATCCACGCCTTGGTGAGGTTGGAGACCATGCCGCGACCTGGGTGCGACTCGGAGAGAAAGAACGAGACGCGGAGCTGGTCGGTCGCCTGCGACTCTTCAAACACAAAGCCGCAGCGGCGAAACTTGAGCCGCACGACGTTTTGAGATTCGGGCAGCGGGCCGCAGCCGTCAAACTCGATCGACTCCCAGATCGACGCGCCGACGTAGTTGTTGCCCATGCCATCGTCCATGCTCTGGCGGTACTGGTCGCTCGACCGGCTAAAGCAGTCGCCGTACTTGAGGAAGACATAGTCGCGGTGCGGCAAATGCGGCTTGGACGACTGCAGCGCCATCCAGTTGACCGAGAGCGACTCGTTCGGGCGCGTCACGTCCTTGGGTGCCGAGTAGAGCACGACGCCGTCGAGGAAGAGCGGGCCAAAGATGTCGCCCATCGTATCGCGAAAGTTGGCGGTCGTCGGCATGTCCATGAGGTTCATCACGTCGTGGATCGACGACTTGGGGATCATGACCACCGCCTTCATCGTGTAAAACTCCTGCTCGGCGAGCTCGTACATCTGGATGCCCTTTGTGTCCTTGAGCGGCACCATGTCAAACTCCGAGATGAGCGCGTCGGCACGACTTTGCCCCAGATAGCGCAGATCGCGCTCAATGTCTTCGGTGATGCGCACGCGGTACATTTTTTCGACCATTGGGAACATCGAGAATGACGACGTCGACTGCGACGAGACGGACGTGTTGGACGAGCTCCGCGCGCCGATCGAGTTGGAGCGGCGGCGCGTCTCGGCGTGCACATCGGCCGAGCTGCTCGTCGGCGCCATGCCGCGCGAGCCGCCGCCGGACGAGACGCCGGCGCCCGAGCCTTGGCCATTGCTCAAGACGCCCGTGTAGTCCAGGACCCCTGAATAGCCGTTCATCTCTTCACAGGACCAATTCAAATTTCAAGGCAGAGGCCACGGCGACGTCCACCAGGTGGCAGCCTCTACAGAGGGTAGACTTCGCCAAATGGCCCAGAGTGCACTTGATTGGCTCCGCTGTAGCGTCCTTTCTGGCCAACTTGCATTTTATTCACAGCGTGAGCAATGTGTTTTTCACATCCCAAAGCACTCATTTGTATGCGCGCCAAGTGCAAACGCACGTTTCACACGTCTTTTACACGCAAGTACCACGGTTATTTTAATCGCCAGTTACTCACGCTCTCGGATTGGCCCCTATCTTTGGACCATGGAGGGCTGATCCGGTATTTTATTGCGTTGGAATCATCACCTTGTTCGAGTTCGAATTTAATTTAATTTAATTTTGGTGCGTTATCTTTTTTTCTTCGGTTGAAATCGTTCGTTCTTTGTATAAAACGAAGTGAGGAAAGGGCGATGCGCTTTATATTTGGGCGAAAACGGCGCAATAATACTATTGTATTTTATTGCGGCCCGCCATGATCTTGGCATTGTATTTATAGGTACCGACCACGACGACGAGTACGGGGTCCTACCGATTACTTGACGACGACGGTCCAGCGTTGTCATCTCTGCGTCTGTATAGGGCGCGCTTCTTCGCGTCAAACCTCATCTTGGACGCAGGTACAAGCTACTCGCAACTGCGTGCGTTCGGCGCACCTCGTTTACACTTGTACTGAACGCACGAGAGACCGTTCCCCGTGCTGGACGACGTCAGGCAGCAGCACTTGATGCAAGTGTGTCAGCATCGGCAGCAAATCCGCTGACCAACGTGGGATGCTGCTTGTCGCGCCTTTGCTCGCCTGCCATCGCGACATCAATGGCCCCAAGCGCGTCGTAGAAGGCCTCCGAGCCGCGCTGTAACAGCGGCCTATATCACCATGTGACTTGTGGGTACGTGAGCCCCCCTCCTACAAAACAGATGGGGTGGACCCTGCCTCAGAACATTCTTTCGACCGGCAACGCCCGGCAACATGGGCTGCTTCAACACGCGCCAACAACCGTCCTGACAAGCGCCCGAGTGCATACACCGCCTTGAGCCCAAGTCCTTTTCCAAGTAGATAGTATAGAAGGATACACGTTGTCTTGCGTCCGAGAGGTGACTCTCAAGATTATCCCGGATTTATCCGATCGTCAGGATGGGTATCGCACCTTGCACGCCGTGTGTGTAGGTCGTCATCCTGGTCGAGTCCATCTCGGGTGCACCTCATCCCTACTGACGGTGCTCGTCCCATGAGACCTGCAAGCGATAGCATGCGTAACGACGACTTGTCCAGACTTCGACACGGCGGCGTCGAGCGAGGCTATCCTACCGGTGCGTCGGTATTTTAGTCGGTAGCGGAGGAGAGAAGAAACGAAGGAGTCTTTGAGGATGGCCCGTCACTTGCGGTGGGCAGAACGGTGTCGTTGGCCCCACCCGGTAGAGGCTCGGACGCTGCACCACGTGGCACGACGCACGGCTGTAAACGTTTCCCGTCGAGAAAGAGACACGGCGCCGAAATCTCGCGTCCAGCATTGCTACACTGTATTTGAAACTCGATATTCTGTATCGATTGCCAAAGGGAATGCGTCCATACAGATGATGAGAGGTATGCATTGTCGCAGGGTTCGCACAATGCAGACGTCGGACGCAGCGCTGCTCGCGGTCGGCGCCATCGGCCTCGCCGCGACCATGGCCTGGATTCTGTACATGGTCGGGTACATTGGCCATGCAGAGGCGATAGCGGTACGGAGCGGCCGTAGTGGCGGCGTCGTATGAGTGGGCCTGCGTAGGACGACGCCAACGGGCGACAGCCCCGGCGACGACAGCATGAGCAGCAGCAAGGTCGTAATGGCCTGCGCCAGCGGCGACGACACGTGCGCAATGACGACGAAGACGATGCGTCGGACGAGGACGAGGAAGACGAGCCCCGAGGCGGCGATCGCCAGCGGTACGAGCAACATCGACGTCCAGGCGGTCACAGTTTGCGCGTAGGCCGCCGCCGACGACCCGACGCGAAATCAAAAAGGAGCAAAAGCGGCAAGAGCGCGAGCAGCAGCGCAAGGTACTAACTGTCGTTCGAGCATCAGCATGGTCATTCTTACTCTAGTTTGACGAGTACCGACGCGACGAAGCGCGCAAGCTCCAAGACGCAGAAGCCAACGTAATCTCTCTCTTCTCGCAGTACCTCCACGTCCCCTTCTTGATGCTAGGCCTACCGCAAAAAGGTGCTAAACGAAGCGACCCGTGAAGCGGCCGAGGTAGACGCAAGCAAGCTCATGCATGCATCGTACCACCTCATCTAGGCCATGGCTGCCGCCGAGGCGGCCCAAGTGCAAGCCGCGCGCGACGCCGCTGAATTGGCCAAGTGGAAAGGCCAGTTCTCCGTCGACGACGCCGGGTCCGACCGCGTGGAGCTATCCGAGTCGACGCATCTCCTCTCGGACTTCCTCGCTTACTTGGCGGTTCGATCGACGTTTGGTGGCCAAAGCTCAGGCCTGTATAGACGCACAAGGTGGTGCTGCTCGAAGACCTCGCGTTGCGCTTTGGGCTGTCGACGACGGCGACGATGCAGCGGTTGCAGTCGCTTCTGACTGCCGGTCGGCTCTCGGGCTTCTTGGACGACCGCGGCAAGTTCATCGCGGTCGACGACGACGACATGAAGCGCGTCGCCACGTACATTGGCAAGAAAGGCCGCGTGAGCGTTTCCGACGTGGCGCGCGAGTGCAATCGGCTGCTTGCATCGTAGCTTGCATCGACTACTGCACTCGAGCTGTCTACGAGCTCAGTAACGCTCTACGTGTAGCACTCTTCTCTATCTACGACCCGACGACAACTACTTTCGAAAGCGATACGACAGGAACGGGCGTTGGTCGACGCGGGGAAGGGGAGCACTCGAGCAGTCGATGCATCTGTCACTGGCCAGTTGCGGAACGTGACTGCGAGTGAGTGGTCCAGCGTGCTCGGTACGGAGCTTAGTACGCTGGATGGCGTCAGCCAAATATTAAAACCTTCTCCGACTGCAGAAGATACGTGGGACGAGCGTCTGCGTTGGTCGGTGATTCATACTGTACGTTTGGGCAAAGCAATTTTCGTGTCCTAGGCTTGCCGAGTTGCCCCCAAATCTCCAGATCTAGAATGAATTTCGAGAATGTAAAAAATGCCAACAGTGTGATAGAAATGTTTCAAAAATGCACATAATGTCATGTGATCTGACATTGGGAAGGAAATGTTTTGTAGTCTCTCGAAACTACTTGAACGACTTCCTACTACGTGCTGCAGTACTACTAGCAACGAGCAACAGTTTCTAAACAGTGTATGCTGTTCAACTCTGAACGGTGTACGCATCAACAGGTATCAAAGAAACAGTGCTTGTACCCAAAGGAAGGCAAGATTTGCTTCTGCACAAGCACTGCAACGCCAACGAACGTCCGATCACGACCACCGTGCGTAACAGGCTCTGTACGTTGGGCGCATCGTCGCATGCCGCTACGAGTACGTCTACAGCGCTACCTACTCGTTTATCAAGGTGCCGCACATCCACTGTATGAACCAGCGTTTTCAAAACAGTGGCTTCCACCGCATCTGTCGTTGGATCGTGTCGACATTTAATAGTGTGCATCTTCGTATCGAGTACACTCGCGCGCGTATATATATATTGAAAGACGTCGTAGTTAGATAGTATTCGTATAACCCTACCCACAGGATACAAACACTTAGGTGTCGTAGTACCACTCGGCGGTCTTTCGCCGGTGGTTGGCGTGCCGGTCGACGTGCGAAAGCGCCTCCATCTTCTTCTGGTGCGTCTTCTCGGCCAGCGCCATGCGCTTCATGTCGAGGAACTCGCGCTGCTTGGCACTCTCGTTCTGGACGCGCGTTTGTTGCTTCTGCGTCGCGAGGTCGGCTTGGTTGCGCTTGGCGTCGCGCCGGCGCACCTCTTGCTCGTCGAGCTCCTTTTGCAGCGCTTCGTCGGCTTCGCGCGTCACGGCGGCCATGAACGCGGCGTCGTCGGCCGCCGACTGCCGCTTCGCCGCGGCTTTGCGCGCCATTTGGTCGTTGCGCGAGGCGAGGACGTGCGCCAAGAGCTCGTCGCGCGCGGCTTGTTCGGCCGCGTGCTCTTCGTCGCGCTTGCGCCACACCTCGTCTTCCATCTGCTTGCGGATCACATCGAGGTGCGAGAGATCTTCCTTCTCTGCCTCCATTTGACGGCGCAGCATCGCTTGGTACGCCAGCTGGTCTTGCTTGAAGCGCTCTTGCTGGTCCTTCTCACGCTGCTCGGCCTCGGCCTCGTTGCGCAGCGCGAGATGCAGCAGCTGGGCGTCGTAGTCGCGCTCGCGGTCAAGGTCCCGCCGACTCATCTCGGAGCGCCGCTTGTTGAACGCCTTGACGTCCCGCGCCCGGTCGAGCGCGTCACGATGGCGCGCGGCCTCGAGCTCGGCTTCCACCTGCGCGTGGCGCGCCCACTCGCGCAAGAGCTCGTCGTCTTCCTGCTCTTTGACGCGCGTTTCGTCGGCGACGCGTGCCTTGAAGTGGTCCACCTAGGGCATTGATTGTCGGGTGCGGAGGTACTGCGTGTATGGGGTACCTGGACGTCGAGGATCGCCTTGACAGCGGCGTTGCCTTCGACGATGCGGTCGCGGTCGCGGCGCTCGCGAGCGTCCTTCTTCGCAATGTCCTCGGCCCACAGCGCGGCCATTTGCGCTTCGTACGCGGCCTCTTCCTTTTGACGGTCGGCTAGCGCTGCGAGTTGCCGCTCGCGCTCGGCGACGACCTCGGCCATGACGGTCGCGCTGTCGACGGTGCGAATGTCGTCGCAGCCTTCGCGGTACTGTTGCAGGCGCTTCTCCTCGACGTACGCCACGCGCGCGGCCTCGCGCTTGGCCTTGAGCTCGGTCGCCCGCGCAATCATCTTGGCCTTGCGCTCTTCGGGTGTCTCGACGTTGGCCAGACACATGGCCTTCCACTGCTCGAGCTCCGCGTTGTACAAGGCGGCGAGCTTGAGGCGGCGCGACTGCAGCGCCGACTCGTCTTGGTTCTGCAACATACCGACGACGCGCTGCGTCTGGCGCTGCCCGTTCTGCTCGTGCGCTTTGGTCTCCCAGTCCGCGCGCGAGTTGAGGTGCGCAAAACCCTTGACGACGTTCGAGTACATCGCAAGCGAGTCCTCGCGCAGGCGGCGCTTCATGATGGTTCCTTCGCCGGCCCCGCGGGCGCTCGTCCGCGGCTGCATCCCGTCGCTTGAGCGTTTTCCTTTCCCACGGCTGTTGCCGCTCTATTCTTGGCCCAAGATACGGGCCTACAGTATATGCAACGTCTTTGAATAGTGTACGTTGAAGTGCCATCGATCGATGGGCGCGATACAACATTGTGGAGAACAACCGGCAGCGCGACCAGCGAGCGCAAGGCGCTTCCTCTCGCTAGTGTCTTTGCCAACTGTCCGCCATTCACAGGACAACACGAGGTGCTAGTAGCTTGCTGAGAAAACTGGAGCAGCGACAGACCAGCCTCCTTGCGCCAGTGCCAAGGCTGGCGTTAACGACGTCGCTGCCGTCGGCTACCAAACGACGTGCGACGGCTAAGAGCCCAAGCGCTCGCCTTAAGCCTTAAGTTCGGCCAGAATCAAGGGTGCCAGAATCAACGCCTACTGGGCCAAGACTAACGTCCGCTCTCTGCCAGCGCTCTCTCGTGATGTGGGTAGCGGTGCGGTCCCACGACTTGTTGCAGTGCGTCAGTTGAAGCCACCGCATTCATGCATCATCCATTACTGGCAGGCGAGTCCGTGACTCCGTATCGGTGTTGTGTGGTTCGTCCACGTCATGTGCCCATCGACTAGTCTCCAGTTTTCCGACTAACTAAACCACTACTTTCCACGAGCCAATGAAAACGCAAGACAGATGCCTCGCACGCTCACGCAAGCGGAACCCGGCGTCGCACCGGTCGGTCACAGCAACGCGGCCGGGGCCGTCCGAGACATCGCATCGCTTGCTGGCGCCGGGCCTGTAGCCCGCAATCCACCGGATGTCGCCCGCGCGCGGCGACCAGCGACCCCGAGGAATGCATCGTCGCGCATTTGCGGCACGCTCGCCGCCTGGCTCTCTGCGCGGAGCGGGACCGTCCCAGCGCAGGCGGTCGCCGACCAAGCGAAAGCGATGGCCAGCACACTTGGCCTCGACGACTTTGCGGCCTCGCCGATGTGGCTGGCCGCGTTCCTTCGCCGCTTTCCGGACCTCAAAGCCAAGGTGCTTCCCGGCCCGAAGAGCGCGCCCATCAAGCGCAAGCGCATGTCCCTCCAAGAGCAGATCGAGATCATCGACGGCGTCGCAGCCGGCGCGTCCCAAGTGTCGATGGCCGCGCGCTACGGCGTGCGGCGGCAAACTGTCTGCAAGATCCTTCAACGCAGCGACGTGCTCCGGGCCGAGATGCAACACCAGCAGACGCGTGGCAACAGCACGACATCGCTCACGCGGCGAACGCTCACGGCCGTCTTCCCGACCAAAGCCATCGACGACGCGCTCGTCGACTGGATGCGCGCGCACAGCGGCCGCGTCACCAACACGCTCCTCCAAACCAAGGCCAAAGAGATTGCCGACACGCTCGGCATGCACGAGTTCAAGGCCTCGGGCGGGTGGCTGCGGCGGTTCAGCCTGCGCAACGGCCTCAACCTACGACGACCGAAGCAACTCGGCAACCCGATCGAGAGTCCCCAAGCCGACGTGCGCGACGACAGTAGTAGTGGCTCGGACGACCAAGACGACGACGACCAAGACGCCGACGACCAAGACGCCGACGATCAAGACACCGACGATCAAGATGGTGCAGTAAAGGCCATCGATGCAGCGATCGATGCAATGCAAGGAATACCTGGAATGCAAGCGGACGCTGCAGAGAACCGTGCTGCGGAAGACGCCAGTGCCATGAACAACCCGGCCATGACGTGGCAGCCTCCGGTGCCGCCAGCAAACCCGCCCCCGTCCACCGTGGCGGCGATCGATGCCTATCGCTGCCTACGCGCCTACGTCACGGTCCGAGGCGACGTTCGCGCCATGGGAGAGCTCGACGAGCTCTATCGTCGCCTCCTACAGCCTCCAAACATCGTTCACTTGTAATTCTACTAGACCAATGCCATCCATTCCTGAGTCTTGCATCTCGTCAGCAACATTATTGGACTGAGCACTCTTCAACTAAAACTTCGACTAAAACGAAACCACGCTACCTCGTTGGCTCTCGTCGACGCCACAACTGCATGCTTGTCCCGTCTTCCGCCGCTGTTCGACTCTACCTTTTTGACTCGTCGCGTACCAGTTAGTACTCGGAACGCTTAGTTGTAATTGTAGTATATCGCATTTAGTGTAGTCGTTATCAGCATCGGGTGCTATACCATGTCGTGGACGGGCTGCGGCGGCCGCGGCGGCGGTGCGCCATTCTCGCTGTCGCTCAGAGTCGTCTCGCGCGGCACGGCCGACGAGCGCACCATGGCCGGGCGGTCTTCAATGTTGCCGGCGGCTATCGACTCGAGCGGCGGCAATGGCACGGCGCTCATGGCCGCGGCGGCAAGGATCGCATTGTGGTGGCCGACCTCTTCCTTGTGCAGCACCGCGTGGCGCACGGCCCAGCACCACATGATCGCCAGTAGAAAGGTCTGGATGATCGACGACCGAATGAGTTCGTCGAGCGACGGCTTTTGCTGCGCGTACATCTGCGTCTTGGCCTTGACTTGCTCGTACTCGACGGGGTCCCACTGCGAAAAGTGGAAAATCTCGTACGCTTGCTCGGCGACCGAAAAGACTGCAAGGACAGCAATGCCCGAGACGTACGTGCGGATCGGCCGGAGATCCGTGTCGTGCGCGGCCTTGAAGCCGACGCAGCCGACGTACACGCCCCACGCATACGAGAAGAGCTTGGCGGCCGTCACGTACGAGTTGCCGTCGTAGAGCGGCGAGTACTTGTACATTTTCTCAATGTTGGCGTCGACGTTGCGCTGCGCGTGCATGGCCCGCATGTTGGCCAGAAACGCAAATTCGCCGAGGAGCTTCATCGTGTTGATGATGAGGATGAACGACGCCCAGAGTTTCACGCGGCGCGCGGCGATCCCGAGCGGCGAGTCGAGCATGAGCGGGTCGAGGCGGCGCGCCGACTCGGACGGAAAGACCGCCGACGTGATCGTCTCGTTTGCGCCAAAATGGATCTGGTGGTGGTGGTCGTCAAAGTTAAAGTTGGGCGGCGGCACGCTGCTTGAGGATGCTTGCGACGCCGCCTCGGGCTCGGGCGGGGTCGCCACCTGCCGCACAAAGAGGTGCACCGTGTGCCCGTCCTCGAGCTTGTACTCGCTAAGCGTGCCTTCGTCCTCAAGGACGCGCCCGCGGTAAATAAGGCGCTGGCGGCTCTCGTCGACGCCGCTCTTGTTGCGCACGACAGCCTTGAGCTGGCTCACGGGCCACGTGGCGTTGGCATAGATCTCAAACACCTTGCCGTTGAGGTCGAGAATGCGGATGCGGAGGTTGCCGCCAACATCTTCGAGCGGGTCGAGCGCAGGCGCGTCGTGGTGCGATGGCTCGGCAGGCGTTGGCGCGGCGCGCGGCGACGAGACGGTCGCGTGGGCCTCGTCGGCCGACGACCGCCGGCGCAACCGTGGTGACGTCGCCCGCGCGTCCGAGACGAGCACCGTGGCCTCGACGGGCGTCGCATGGTCGTCGTCTTCGTGCTCCCGAGGTACCGCCGTGTAGCGCAGCATGGACGTGCCGACGCTGCCCCCGGCAGCAGCGGCGCGTGGACTCAGAACGTAGCGGCTCATGCGGCGTCTGGGAAAATGGCGATCAACACTCCGAGGGCACATTTTTTTTACTTTGCAGCACATTACTTTTTTAATATTATAAATAACTCTGGTTTTGTATGACAAATGACGATTTGCATTGTATTTTGATCCGCCGACATGTTTTTTAGTGCAGAGGCCCAGTTTATTTTCGGTGGCCGAACGATTCTCTGGCGACGCCGCATGGACGTGGCGGCATGTGGATGCAGGTACACGCAGGATCATCGGCGAAGACCATATGTACATGGGCGACCGATGGACGCGCAGGTATGGATGGTCTTGCCCGTGGAGGCGAGACGCGACATTGCACTGGCGTCGGCGAGGCGCCTGCAACGTTGCACGGCAGCGGAGGACCGCACGCTGGCGACGAGGTCTGCGATACGTACGCAGGTGGTACAGGTTGCGGCCGTTGGTTCAAGTTGCGAGGTCATTGCAGATCCGCCAGGCAGATCCGAACGGTGGTCGTCGCTCTTGTCGTTGGGCTTGCTCGACGTCCAGGCTTGCCCAGTCCTCCTGAGTAAAGCAAGAAATCGATATTACATCGGACGCGTTATGTGCATGCTAGCGTGTACGGACTGCAATGGCTTCACGCGTGCCCGACGTGCGAGCTGTGGAGGAGGCACGCCGAGTGCGCCCCGCCCGCCGACACTTGAGCCACAGGGATCGTGCCCATGGTCGTCTCCAGAATGCGCTCGGGCGTCGCGCAGTGCTTGAGGTCGGCGTTGCCGAGGCGACCATGGCTACATACATGGTCTACATGAGCACGGCAATCGGTAGCATGTCCGCTCGTACTCGGTGCGTCCGCAGCTCAGCGCCTCGCCCTTGTCCGTCAAGAAGAGCGTGTGCGATCCGCCTACGGTCATCATCCACCCATAACCTTTGCCTCCATCAATTGTACCAGCCGCCGCCTGCACGATGGTATGCTCGGCCAGCGCTTCAACCTTAAGACATCGTCAATGCCTCGACATGATGTGCAAGGAGGAGCGTACCTTGCGCGGATGCGAGTGGCCACGCGTGTCGCCGAGGCCGAGGCGACCAAACTCGCCGCGGCCAAAGACATAGGCGCTGCCGTTGCGCCCGACGACGACCGTGTGCCAGCCCCCGCACGACACGCTCCTACACGCGATACGTGAGTTACAGACTCGGAAAGGTCGACTACGTACGCAGCGGGCACCGACTCGAAGAAGGGCACGCGACGCGGCACGTGGATGTCGGGCGTGTGGCCGACACCGAGCATACCATAGTCTTCCTTGCCCCACCTACGCCAGTTTCAATGTATCAATCAATATAGATATATTGGCAGTCCAGTACGTGTAGACATGACCCGACTCGGTCACGGCCGCAGTGTGGAACGCGCCGCACGACACTTGGATCACGCGCTCGTTGTCAAATCTAATGCATCGAAAATGCTGAAAATGAAAAATAATGCAGAAGGCTGGTACTGGGCGGGATCGATGCGCGTCGGAATGCTCGTGCCGCACGTACCGTCGGCGGCTTCGGGCTCCATGTGCACCCAGTCGCGGCCAAGCCCGAGCTGGCCGTTGTCGCGACGGCCCCATGTGTACACGTAGCCTTGGTCTAAGAAAGGGTAAGCGCCATGGCACACGTGGTCAAGGTCGTCGTCGTACCCGACAGCGCCGCCGTGTGGGTGCCACCTACATTACGTGGAGCTACCGTCAAGAGAACGCGCAGAGGTACCGCAGCTAATGGCAACGATCTTTTCGTCCGTGTTGGGCGGAAGCACCTTGCACTCGGCCGGCATCGCCTGGTGCACGTCCTTGTAGTCGGGCGAGAGGCCAAGCTGGCCCCAATGCGCTTCGCCCCACATAAAGACCCGCCCTGGATCCCAATACAAGTAAGGTCGAGAACGCAGGGAATGTCGCGTCGTACCGTCGGTCGAGACCGCGCCCGAGTGGCACCCGCCGGCCGAGACGTACGCGATCTTGATGTTGGCCGCATCAAAGTAAACGATCGGCGTCGGAAGGTTGAGGCTCTTGTGGTTGCCGTGGCCGAGCTGGCCCATCTGGCCCCAGCCCCACGAGAAGACGTCGCCCGTGGATGCGAGCGCGAGCGAGTGGCGCGACCCGCACGAGATGGCCGTGATGTCGAGGCCACGGAGCGCGCCGACCTGCTGCGGCTGGTTGGCGCTCGAGACGCCGTCGATGCTGGTGCCACTGGGCTTCTTCTTCTCGCCACGGCCGAGCTGCCCGTCGTCGTTGCAGCCAAAGGTCAGGACCGAGCACTCGACGACCATGCTCATTCTTCTCGTCTTGGCGGATGGACGCAAAATGGGAATTCCACCGACGGATAACCTTGAAGTACCGCCGCCACACGATTGGCTCCACGTCGGTGATCTTGAAGTCATTTTAGCCAATCACAGTGCACAAATCTTTGCCGACACAACTCGTTGTCGCCTTGGAGGCCATGGCTAGAGATGACACTGCATATCTGCGCTCGCAATTAGACTGTCTTATCTCTAGACTGGTACCCAAAGCAAGCAGCTTCCGAAGTGAAGCCAAGCAGAAGATACTCAAGGAGCCCTCCATCAGCGTTGCGTGCTTGTAAGCATGTCAATGCGCCGAGAGCTAGGTGTAAGCCAACCTACTGGGATTATCTGACCCTAATCGCGTCTCTATGGTGGATACTGCGTGAGACGAGATACAACCGACAACCGTAAAGCGATGGCAAACTGAGCTAAAGCCAAACTTGGCTGAGCCAAGATCGTTCTTGTAGCTAGAGCCAGGCTCAGCCAAATCCAAGATCGTTCTGACGGGTCCACAAGAATGGAATAGGGCGACGTGCTGTGGCGCGATGGTGGCGACCGTGCGCGGCGGTGCGTCACCGAGTGGTCTGGCAAACTCTGGCTCTGGCGACGCCGCTGGGCGACAATACGAGAGTGCAAGCGTCTGATTCTTCCGGCCGTCGGTCGTCCTCCTGTCGTCGCAATACCAAACTCGACCAAACACGACGTAAACCCTACTCGCCAACACGTTGTGTACACACTACACAGTGGCATTTTGGTGGTATATTTTCAAACGCCCTCAAAATCCTCGGGAATCCACCAAATTTGAGACGCTCAGAACGTATTTTCCTCCCTCTGGCGCCAACTCGGACGCAGTCCAGCTACTCGGACGGTACATTGTACGTGGCTGGACGCGGTGGTTCGGTACTCGTTGGACCGTTCGGCGGCAGGTTGCCGTGTGTAGGACGCAAGATGATTGGCTGGAAGAACTGCGAGGCAAATTAATTTAAAACTCCGTGTCGCTCGTGACACTGATAAACGTGGGGCGGAACGCGAGGTCCGATGGCCGCGACCCGAGCGTCGGCAGTGTCTCCGCCGACAAATTCTCTTCCAAAAGCGGGATCAAGTCGGACGGCTGCTTGGCGATGAGCGAGTCCAGCGCGTCCATCTCGACGTGCTCGTTGAACATGTTGAGCGGGTTCACGAGCTTGATCATGCCGCCCGCGTCCTCGACGAGCTGGATCATGTGCTGGCCGACGCGTTCGCGCACCACGGGTGCCGGGGCTTTGCTCTGCAAACCGCGGCTGGCGACGCCCACCTCGGACCGGGGCGCCGACGACGCACTACTCGACTGCGGGCGCCGCGGGGCGCGGGAGACGCCGACTTCAGAGCGTGGTTTGGGCACAATGCGTGGAATGCTGCCGTGGCGAGAGAGCGACGCCTCGGAGCGCTGGCCACTCGACTGGCGCGAGAGCGACGGCGGCGCGATCCGGGGCGCGCTCGGGTGCCGCGCCAAGCTCGGCTCGGGCTCGAGCGCGTCGAGTACGTTTTGGTAGCTTCCGCTTTGGCTGTGGAGCGTGCTCGTGGCCGTCGTCGAGAGCGAGCCAAGCGACGGGTTGGACACGCCGCCCGACATGCGTCGCGCTGGCAGCCGCGCCGAGTCGCGGAGCCCCGGTGCGCTATTGTTGTTGTTGGTGGATGTGGTCACGACGCGGTGCCCGCGGTCGGTGCCAAAGAGCGACTGGTCTGACGCCTTGCGCGGGAGTGGGCCGTTGCTGCTTGCGCTCATGTTGGCGGTCGCACGCACGTTGTTACTACTGATATTGTGGTTGCTGTTGCAGTTGGTGTTGACGGACGAGAGGTGGGAAAACTCGCTCTCGGGCGACACGAGCTGCGAGTGGACGCTCTTTGGCGACGTCGTGTCGTCGCTCTGCACGTGGGAGCGCAGCACGCGGTGCTGCTTGGGCCGCGACGCGCAGTGGAGGCACGCTCGCACACCCTTCCGGCCCTTCTCGCCGATCTGGTCGAGCATCACATTGGTCGAGCACTGGGTGCAAATGGCGTGCGCGCACATGCGGCAGTGGTGCCGCCGCCGGAAGAGACCAAACGTCTTGAGACACACGCCGCAGTGCATCTCGTCGCCAAAGTCGGCGGTCGTCGCCACCGCGATGCGGGCGGCGGACGCGGTCCGGAGGCTCGCAACAAAGTCGAGTGCGAAAGTTTGCATCCACTTGAGGCGCTTGGTGTGCTTTTCGAGGCAAAAGACGAGCGAGATCTGGCAGTTTTCGTCGTCGGCGTCGTCGCTCCCCGTCACGACGATGCCCGTGTGCTTGAAGAGACCGCGCGTCGCGTTCGGGTACCGGGCGGCGACGACGTCGACCGACTCCCACACCATCGTGCCAATGCGCGGTGTCGATTGGTTGGTCGGCGACGCAAAGAGCTGAGCGTGCGCGAGAAAGACAAAGTCCTTGATCTCGACGCCTTCGGTCGACCACGCCATCCACGCGAGGTGCAACGGGGGTAGCGGGTCGCAGTTGACGCTGAGAATGTGGTCGCCCGTGTAGAAGGCCGGCTTCCCGAGCGCATTGAAGGTTTCGTTGAGCAGCTCGGTGCTGTCGAGACGGAGCTGTGCGATCGCGTTGGCGACGCTGCTCGATGTGTTCACGGTGGCTTTGACCATGTACTCGCCCGACTCGGCGAGGCCCTCGTAGAGCAAGACCCCGTTCTTGTCCTTGACGTAGTTCCACGCGGTCTTCATGAGGGGCTTGGACGACGACGAAGTTGCCGACGCCATGGGGTTGGGCGAGGCCAAGCGCACGAGCGCGTCGGCTTTGGCGACTGCGACTTGCTGCATCTGCGCCGTGATGTGGCCCGGCAGGCCCTTGAGCCCGAGCGCGTCGAGGCGGCGCTTGAAGATGATCTTCTCCTTCTCCTCCTTGCCCGTGACCATGGGGCTGATGTGCAGCACGCTCGCGTTCCCGGCGTTGGACATCATCATCATGCTGCTGCTGTGGTGAGGCAAAAAGGCAAACTGGCCCGCAGGTGCGATTTCTCAGGCGCGCCATTTTGTTGACTTTGGTGAATTAGGACGCCACGTGTTTTTCACGCGTGAAAATCACGCTGCCATCACACGACGACGAGATGTCGTCGTCGCGTTACAAGAATCATCGCCTACCCTGTCGGTAGTATGCTGCCCGGCAGCTGGCGGGGCCGACTAGCTTCCTCAATTCATACGCATTGGCGTAGAGGTCCTAAATGCAATGACGGTGCTCTCGCAGCGATGACGCGTCGACGTTGTCTGCGGTACATGCCGCCTGTACTTCGTAGCTGGAGCCGGATGTCTTCAGTGCAGTTGGGGTTGCCTCATCTGGCACCAAACAGAATGTCGAGGCGGTCGATGGTCGAGGCGGTTGATGGTCGAGGCGGTTGATGGTCCTGTCAACAATACTAGTCGCATCATGTTCGAGGCGTCTTTGGCTCTCGGCTGCGCATTTATGGCGCAAGGCTCGTCAGCGTGTCTTGCTGTGTTCCTCCGTTGAGCTCGCCTGGACGACCTTTCTCTGTTGCCATCGATGCATCAATATCGTCGAATGGATTGATTGTTCTCTGCCTGGCGTACCAAGGTATCCCGATGCTTGCTGAATATGCCATCCGACTGCTCTTGGTGATGTCGAGGGCGTCACCTGCATGCCGGGTGCGGCATGTCGGGTGGCGAGACGATGCTGTGGACATACACGATCGCTCGTATTTTTCACATCCTAAAACACGGTGTGAAATGCCTCCAAATCGGCACTATCCGAATTGAACGCGGCAATATCCGAATTTCGAGCGCGACATCGGACGCAGTAATGCGTTCGCGGGGGTGTCGGAACGCACGTGGCGCGCCGCATGCAATCACATGGCCGTTCCGCCAAGTCGCTGAAAGGTCCTAAGATCTGCATCTCCTGCACACGGTGGCGACGCAAGCGCGCTTCCGACGTTGGGCGGTGGGCTGGCACCACCCAACGCGACGACGGCAGCGACGCTGTGTTACCGCCCACATTACACGAGGTCGAATTGCTCAACGACCCACCTCGTGACGGTCTGGTCTTGCGGCGTCGGGACGGAAGACACAGGTGGTCAGTGCCGTGACACCTATGACGTGGCAGCACGGCGTCGCCCCGCTCGCCCAGCCTGTACGTCCGCGCGACTCGGTCGACAGGCGACGGCGTGAGTGCGACGACCACTTGGCCATCGAGACGAGTAGCATCCTATCACTTGCGCGCGATAGATTGGCGACGTCGAGTAGTACATCTGGTCCGATACAATAAGGTATGATTCTATGTGCGAGAGACTCTGTGGTGCGAACGCTGTCGATGGTGTGGCACCTGCCGTCATCATTGTCGCTCACCGGCTTTGACCCAAAGAACACCGATGTCGACCTCATCGCCGGCGCGCGACCGACTCTTGCACGAATCATACAAGCGTGCACGATCGCGTCGAGTGCCAAGAGGCCCACGGCAGTCGACGATACTCCTACGACTGTAGGCGGGACAGGCATGGCACGGCAGCGGCGGATCATCTCGAGGCGCCTGTCACTTTGTTGCGATCATGAGCTCTGATTCATGACGCGCCGCCGATTGCTTGTCGCCGCACCGCGGCCAAGAGACACACGCAATGTGGGAGGCGACCACGTCGCTGACAGGCCAAGGACGCACTCATGTGTCCTATGTCGGACGCATCGGATGGATCTTGCCACAAAAGAAACCCAGCTTCACCACCGAGTCAGATCATGAGTTGATTTCATTACGCGCGGTATCAGATCTTTGCGGGATCAGTAGCCGCTCTCATAAGCGTCCCAGAAAGCCTCGCCTTCGTCGCCTTGGCGGACGATCGTGAGAAGCCCGATGGCTCCAGCGGCGGATAGCTTGGCGAGAACGACATCATTGGGCATGGCCGGAAGGTCGGCGCCAAGCCACACGAACGCCGTCGAGGCTAACTGCAGCCAAGCGATCGCGTCGGGCACCAAGTCGCTGCTGTCGTACTCGCGCAGTACCTCCCACGGTCCATCGAGATCAGTCGCCACTGATAAGACGACACTGGCGGTGTCGACGGTCTCTGGTTCGACACCGAGGGATGGCGGCGGTGGTGGCGCAACCAGGTCGTAGCAGCCGTAGGCAAAGGCTATCTCGGATGTCGTTGGCACCAGCGATAGGAAGTCTGCCGACTCCCGACCCTCGTATTCGAGTGCGATCCGCGGGCACGCTTCGTTCCATACCCGCGCGTAGAGCTACACCAATGCGCATGAGCACCTGAAGTTGCTGAAGATGCAGCTTGCTGTGTACATGTACCTCGCGAATCTCGTGCTCCATCGAAGCGACGCGGGACACCTCGGCGGCCGCACCGCACCACACATACACGGCTTCCGGCGCGCAGTAGGCGAAAAGAGCCTTGGGGTGGCGCTCAACTTGTGTCGGATGAGCGGCGCTGCGCGTATTGGGCACACGACACGCGGTGAGCACCCACGTATCAGCATCGTGTGCACCGTGGGGGCCGTAGCAATAGACATGCGGCCGCTTGGTGCGGTCGATGCGGCACGTCTCGAGCTCGAGGAGCTGACAGAGAAAGCCTGGGTTGGGGCTGCAGATCGAGCGGGCCGCTTTCACATTCGCAAAGGCGTCGGCGTACGAGAGGCCTTCGATGCACATGAGCGCTGCGATCGCAAACGAACAGGACCGCGACACGCCTTGCTGGCAGAGCACCACGACGGTGCACGGAGCCTCGGCCATGGCCGCGAGCACGCGCGGCAAGAACGGCAATAGCTCTTGGCTCGGCCCGTCCCGCAGCGCCAGCGACAGGATCGGTCGGACATGTGCCGGCGGAACGCAGTCGTCGGGAAAGAGCGCTTCGCGTGCGCAGTTGATCAGTGCGTAGTCGCCTGTAGTTGGCCACTGCGCGCGGTGGCCGGCGATCAACAGGTGCGGACGCACCATGGAGAGTTGCGGCGCGGCTTGCGCGAGCTTGGCCGCCCGAGAGAATGCTCCGTCCTCGTTCTCGCCAACGACCGACGTCCGCAGCGCCTTGGGGATCGCCGGAGCGGACGGAACCACGGAGAATGGCGTCGCGTCCGTGACCGGCGCCGACTGCGTACCCCCCATCGATCTCACGCAACGTTTCAAGTGGCCGTTGTCAACAGCGTCGTTCTATCGAATCACCAATCATTTGAGTACACGTGGCGCGCTGTGCTTGTCGCTTCTAGCAAGACTACGTTCTTATCCTCGCAGTCTCTCAGTCGCTTGGTATTGCACAGCAGAACAGCAATGCAGGCGCGACCGTGGCCAAAAAGGTGGCACTTGATGCTGCCACGTAATTTCGGATTCTATTTTTAGATTCTATCGAAACGAACCGGATTCGAAAATTGTTGTTGCGACCGTCGAGCATGCGCTGCCTGCTCGTCGCCGTCACCGCGATCGCTGTCTTTGCCTCGTGTGTTAGCGCTGCTTGCACACCGTTCTCGAGCTACCTCTCGTCCTACGACGTCGAGCGTGGCGTCGCGGTCGTGGCCGACCCGGCCGGCTGCAGTAGCGAGCCGCGCCCGACCGACTGCGTCGACTCGCAGTGCCGCAAGTGCTGGCTGTACAACACCACGTTCGCGCCGACGCCGTATGCAGTCTGCCCGCGCGCCATGCACCCCGCCATTCGCCCACCCGAGAGCATCTCGTGCACGGCGTTCTTGCTGCCAACCGAAGGCAGTGCAGGCAACGTCTCGGCCATCTACGATGCAACGTGCACGTTGTATGGCGGCCTCGGGTGTCTGCCCAACTTTGCTCCGTGCCGCCGGTGTAGCACGTACCCGACGCCGTCGTCGCGCTACTGGCCGTGCGACCTCGACGCCGCGATCTGCGACAACAATACGGGGCTGGCGCGGGTCATTGGCATTATCGATGCGTCGTGCTTGACGAAGCCCACACTACCGGGATGCACAGTCCAGTCGCCCTGTCGGCGCTGCCGTTTGCAAAAGCTGGTGACCAACGCCCACTTGCCCGACTGCGCAATGCTGTATACGCTGGCTACGCCGCTCGAAGTGTCGGTTGCTAGCGCCGGCTCGCTCTGGTCGGCGTTCGAAGCGCTGCAGACCGACCTCCGCGCGCTCCCAGATGATGCAGCGCAGTTTTCAGAGACCAACACTGCAGCTTTTGCCCAGGACGTCGGGTATTACGTAATAGTGAGCACGCTCGTGGTCGGTGGTGTTGGGATCGCGATCGGTCTCGCCGTCCTCATCGTCTACGCCACGTACCGCCGCCGCGCCACAGCATCTCCGATCCTCGTGCGACCCATGGTCGAGGCCACCGTAGCCGACAAGACCCACGATCTCAGTCTCGCCAACCCAACGACGGCGACGACGCTGTAGAGAGCCAAGCCAAAGAATCCAAAACACTCCCAGTGCGTTGCGATACCCAATTTGGAACCCGCGCCATTAGAGGCAGCGGTAATTGCGTTAAACGCCTCCTTATTCTACCCTAACTCAAGTCCTTGCATAGCGTAAAACTATGAGTATACCAGTGTAAAGCTGAACACGGTCTTCTGTCCCTGCTGATGCATCCAGCGCCGATCGATGGTGAGACGTCAAAAGACCAAGGGACGTAGGCGCTTCTGTCTCCATCGCCAAGCCATCATCATCTGCAGGGTCGCCTGGTGAGCCTCTCATTGTGCACGGTTGGCATAGGCAGAGTGTAGTCGAAACAAATAGCAAATAATAGTTCGATTGTAATACTGAGGAGGACATGAACCCTCGTCGTCTAGTTCAACTTGCTTACTGCTCGTAACTACTGAATCGACCAAAAATGGATGGCCAGGAGCGCTGCCGCGACACTGGCGTCTTGCGGGACGCCGTTGCCCACCAGTGCAAGGCTCAGTTGGATCGCGTCGGCGTGGGCCGCCGCCTTGTCGCCCAGCTTCCAGTGCGCCTTGGCCCGGAGACAGAGGGCGTTCACGTCGTTTGGCGCGAGCTGGAGGAGCTGCGAAGTGTACTTGATCGTGCTCTCGACTTCATAGAGACAATACGACGCCTTGGCGAGCACCGAGAGCACGGCGATATTGTCGACAGTGTCGGACGCCAGCGCTTCCTTCCCGAGGCGCAGCGCGCGCTCGTATTGGTGCGCGGCGAATGCAGCGTCGAGCGCCGAGCCTACAGTGTGTGTGCAGAGTGTCTATTGGAGTGCTGCTTGAGCGACCTGTCGATGTCGCTTGTTGCAAAAGCCATTCAACCGAGGCGTAGTAGTCGCGGTGGTACTTGAGCTGCAGGTCGTTGTGGCCGGCACGGGGAAACACCTGGAGCTTCTTGACCGAGGCCGCACATGCGTCGTAGAGGTCTCGACCTTGCTGCACTAGTGGTATCAAGCAGAAGAGTCGAGTGTTTCGTGCGTCGTTGTGAAGTTTGCACCTGGTGCGATCTCGTCGTCCTCGCCGTGAATGACGAGGAACGGGAGGTGGAGCGACTCGAGCTTCTCGCGAATGTGAAAAATCTCGGGCAGCATCTGCAGCATGGCCGCGCCGCCGGGCATAAAGCTGGCCATCTGGCTAACCATGGGCAGCGCCAGAATCGAGTGGAAGCCCGACTCGACGATGAGGCCGCGGTATCGCGTCGGCGCCTTGGCCGCCACATGCATCGCGCAGAGCGACCCAATCGACCTAGTTGGACACTGAGGTGACAAAGACGAGGGTCTCGTCGTACCGGCCAAACAAGATACGCGGCACGTCCCGCTTGAGCGATGGCACCGTGTGGAGCAAGCGGTCGACGAGCTCGGCGTCCTCGAGGAGGCGCGCTACCGCCGGTTCGCCGGTGCTCCAGCCGTAGCCGCGAAAGTCAACTGCAAGGAGTGCTGTTGGCACTTGCATGGCGGCGAGCGTCGTGGCGGCGGACGCGTAGTCGGCTGCGATCTCGGCGTTGCCGTGGAAGAGCACGACGACCGCGCAGTAGGCATCGGGCTGCAACGGGCGGAAGAAGCGGTAGCCGAGCGATACGTGGCCATCGGTAAAGACGCCATCGATGGCATGCGGCGGGAGGCCGGCGCCTTGCGCGTGGCGGCGCGGGTGGAAGGCCACCGAGTTGACGAGCGGCGAATCCCAGAGCGATGCGGCCATGCCAGCGCGTTCCGTTAAGTGCGCCCAGCGAGAGGATTCGACCATCATTCTTTGATTAAAAGACAATAAAAGAATATATAAAACGACAATAAAAGACAAAACTCGTACTATGAATGAGAAAACGTGTCTGCTTCCCTCGCGACGCAAGACGCTTCGAGGACGCTCCCGGGCACAAAGACGACCAGCTTATTAGTTGTCGTGGTGATAGACACTCGAAGTAGCGATCACAAGGAAGGTTGCAAGCTGCGTAGCTTGCCCCCAACGGACGCCCGAGGCCAAATTTGGCTCCCATTCTAGCCACGGCTACCGACGGCCCTCGACGCGCAGTGTATCTAACGTACTAAGGTACTAAAGTACTAAATTAATAAAGTCCTCTGCTGTCGCTCCACGTTGCAATTCCCACCGAGAGATAAACAATCGATTCACAAAAAGCTTGAAGCTATTTCAACATTAGGTTTTTTGAAACGCTTACCTCCAAGCAACTGCTTTTGTACCATGAGCTCGACTCGGACGCCAGCACCAACGCCGACGACGTACCTTGGATCGACCAAGTCGCCAGGAATCGGCAACAGCACCTACAATTCGACTAGCAGCAGCAGTGGGAGTGGCACGAGCGACGCCAGTGGAGCCATTGTCGGCCTTATTGTCGCTCTGGTGGTCTTTCTCGTAATCGCTCTGATTCTGCGCAAGTCGATCTACGTCGTGCAGCAAGCCGAAGGTATTCAACACGTTGTCGGTGCGAGGACACGTCGTCTGTCTCTGTCGATGCAGGCATTGTCATTGAGCGCTTTGGCGGCTACCACAAGCTCCTCGACTCGGGCATTCACTTTATCGTATCGACTACATCTCGCGTCCATCGACTAACTAGACGAGGACTGGTAGGTGCCACTCATCGACTCGCCGCGCATGTTTTCGTGGAAGCGCGTCGTCAAGCGCAACGGCCGCATGGAGACGCACGAGTACGACGAGCTCGTCGTCTACTCGCCTAGTAGGTCGCACATACTACGATGTCTAGTGACCAGCAGTACCGCATTGATTTACGCGAAAGTATCTTTGCCTTCCCGAGTCAAGAGGTGCGATACCAAGTGCACTAGTGTCGCACGAGCACTGCCTATACAGACTCTATATATGTACTAGGTCTACACGCGGGATACGATTCTCCTCGACGTCAACTCGATCATGTTTTTTCGCATCGTCGACGTCCGCAAGGTGCGACCTCTACTGCGCTAACGACGCGTCACGAACTAACTAAACTAGGCTGTCTACGAGATTGACGACCTCAGCTCGGCGATCGCCAATGTGGCGCAGACGCAGCTCAAGGAGGTCTTCGGCAACATGACGTTTACTGAGGCGCTGGCGTCCCAGAGCGTCATCAACGCGCATATCCAGCGCACCTTTGGCGATAGGTTTGCGCAGTGGGGTCTTGTGGTACCGATATCCTTTCGACTAAAAACAAAATCGACTAAAATGCGACTAGGTCGAGCGACTGGAAGTCGTTGACATGCTGCCCAAGCCCGGCACCACAATCGCTGACGCGATGAAGCGCCAAATGATCGCCGAGCGCACACGCCGCGCCGAATTCATCCACGCCGAAGTACGCCATATCTCAATCTCAATATGAATCTCAAGAATCGCACCAAACTCATCCTATTTTACTAGGGCCGGAAAGCCGCGATGCGCCTCATATCGGAAGGCACCAAGCTCAAAAAGTACAACCTCGGTGTCGCCGAGCAAGAAGCCACGCGGAAAACGTGCGTTCGCAACCACTGATATCTTGATACTACAATAACCCCTAGGTCCGAGGGCTTGGCCGGCGCCAAGGTCGAGCTCGCGCGCGCCGAGTCCAAGTCGCTCGAGCTTATTGGCGCGGCCTTCTCAGCCGACGGGGCGTCGCAGACCGAGTACGTCATCTCGCAGCGCTACATGGATATGCTCCAAACCATGTGCACCAATCTCGACAAGAAGTCGCTCTTCTTCCCGTACGAAACCAAAGGTCTCTCGGGACTCATCGGCGACCTCCGACATGTCTACGGCTACAACAAGACGTCGGTACGCACCCTCATCATCTTCCGAGTTGACGGGATCGTCTCTCCACAGGGCACGCAAGCGCGGGCGCGACGCCCAGTGCGCGCGTTTGATGCGCTCGACTAGCGACGCGACTGGCGACAACATTTCGCCCGGAAGTGAATGTCGTATGCAAATGTATAAGTGTATTTTCGAACTCGGTTCCGCCTCGTGGCGCTGCCACGTACTAGAAGAATGAGAACAACTAGGTGTTGTAGGGGCCACGGGCACGCAGCGCCCAGACAAAGCCAAGCGCGTCCAGCGTCGCGACGCGCTCCTGGGCGGCGGGTCCGACCCAGTGCTTGGCGCGGGCGCGGAGGTTCTTGACCATGTGCCCGACGTGCGCGCCGCAGAGATCGCGCGGCCAGCGCAGATCATGCGAAGGCACCGTAAACGACTGCGGCACACGGAGGTGGCCATAGAGCGCTCGGAAGATGTGTAGCACGCGCAGTGTGGCGGCCCACTGTGCGTTCTGAGCAGGCGAGAAGACGCACGACTTGGGCGGTCGCGGCCGGCGGTGGCGTGGCGGCGCGGGCAAGAGACGGCGCGCACGGCTGACTGTCGCTGGGAGCGGCGGTAGGTGGCCTTTGACGATCCACGCGGAGAGCCCCATGGCGCTGCGTGCTTCTCGGTCGGAGGCCATTGGTCGACGGAATATCGAATGCAACGAGCTGGATCTCGTTGCCGCCAAATGCATCGAGTGCAACATTGGCAGCTACACCGACTGCAACATGGGCGCTGGCATACGACTGCCTCTCTTCTTGGCGCACTCCGTGCTTGAGCAGGCACAGGGTAGCTCAGGTTAGGTGTCCTGTGCTCGAAGGCGCGGTCGAAATGACGTGGCGGTCTCTCGTCACGTTGTTTGAAATTTGAAATCGCAAAGTTTCTCAATGGATCCGTGCATTGTTGAGAGCCTGACGATAGTTGGATACATAGATGGATAGAGATCGTTGGAGGGATGGATAGATGGAAGGGATCAAGGATATGGTGAGGCTCCTCGTCGTGCCTACTATAAAAGAACGCGCGCCGACAAAAAAGACGTCCCTACCGATTAAAAGACACATATTTTGTTTAAAAGCGCGCGATGTGGATTAAAAGAACGCCAACGTTGAATAAAAGAACGCTGCGTGCGGTTTGCCGCGGACTGGTTTTGGCGCCAGATTCGCAAACCCCATATGTTCGGATATCGACTTTGAGAGGTAATCCATTCTCCATTTTGGCCCGAGGAAGCGCCCGGAGCATGCACATCAAGAGCGTCGTCGTCGCGGGCTTCCGCAGCTACAAGGACGAGACCGGCGTCGAGACCTTCTCGCCGGCGCAGAACGTGGTCATCGGCCGGAACGGGACGGGGAAGAGCAACCTCTTCGACGCGATCCGCTTCGGGCTCCTCACCGAGCGCTTCGCCAACCTCCGCCCGGACGACCGGCAAGGCCTGCTCCATGAAGGCAGCGGGAAGCATGTGATGAGCGCGTACGTCGAGATTACGTTCTGCAACCGCGATGGCCGGCTGCCGCTCGACACGGACGAGGTCGTGCTGCGCCGGACCATTGGCGTCAAGAAGGACGAGTTCTTCCTCAACCGCAAGCACATCACCAAGCAAGACGTGCATCACCTGCTCGAGACCGCCGGCTTCTCGCGCTCGAACCCGTACTACATTGTGCAGCAAGGCAAGGTGAACGCGCTCGCGCTCATGAAGGACCGCGACCGCCTCGAGCTCCTCAAGGACGTGGCCGGCACCAAGGTCTACGAAGACCGACGACTCGAGTCGCTCAAGATCATCCAAGACTCGCAGGGCCGGCGCGACAAGATCCTCGAGGTCATCTCGTACATTGAGAGCCGCCTCGCCGAGCTTGAAGACGAGAAGGACGAGTTGAAGGAGTACCAGTCGCTCGATAAGGAGAAGCGCGCGCTCGAGTACATGCTCCATGAGAAAGAGCTTCAGGACGTGCGCATCGAGCTCGAAGCCATCGAGCGCCAGCGGTCCGAGGATGCCTCCACGTCGACCGACCTCCATGCGCAGGAGCGGACCTTGAAGGACCAGCTCAAGCAGATCCAAGACTCGGTGCAACGCCACACCGAAAAGCTGGAAGACTGGACTAGCGACAAGGTTCGCTTGGAGGCCGAGCGCGCCGAGCTCATGCAGGCGCAGTACGAGCTCGAAATGGAGCTCCAGGACCTCAACGACGACGTCGACCACGACTCGTCCCGGGGCGCGACGCTCAAAACCGAGCTCGCGACGATCCAAGCGCAGTGCCAAGCGGCGGAAACCGAGCTCGCCGAGTGGACGCCCAAGCTCCACGACCTCTTGCAGCTGCTCGCCAACACCCGCGCAACGCTCTCGACGCTCGAGCTCGAAGCCGACGCGCTCATTGCGAAGAAGTCGCGCAAGGCCCAGTTTTCGTCGCAGGCCGACCGCGATGCGTACCTTGGCCAAGAGATCGACGACCTTGTCGGGCTCGTGCAGCGAAAGGAGAAGGAAGCCAACCATTTGCAGACGTCGATCTCGACCGCCAACGCCACGATCGCCCAGGCCAAAGACTCGCTCACAGACCGGTCGGTCGCGATGGCCGAGGCCCGCACCGAGCTCGATGGCTTTGGCCGACGCCTCGTGGAGCTCAAGGAGAAGCGCAACGACGTGTCCGAGACGCGCAAGGATCGCTGGCGCGACGAGAACAAGGTCGGTCAAGACGTCAAGCACCACGCCGAGCAGCTCTCGCGCGGCGAGTCGATTCTGCACAGCACCATGTCGTACGATGTGCGCCGCGGCCTCGAGGCAGTGAAAGGCTGGAAAGAATCACAGCGCTTCCGTGGGATCCATGGTCCCTTGATCGAGCTCGTCGAGCCCGTGGACGACCGATTTTGCGTCGCGCTGGACGAAGCCGCGGGCGGCGCGTACTTTCATGTGGTCGTCGACTCGGACGACGTGGCGACGCGCCTCATGCGCGAGCTCGAGAAGCACAACTTGGGCCGCGTGACGTTCTTGCCGCTCAACCGACTCAAGGTGAGCGAGCCAAGCACGTTTGAGGCCAACGACGACGCCGTCCTCCTGTTCGACAAGCTGCGGTATCCGTCCGAGATCAAGAAGGCCGTCTTGTCGGCCTTTGGGAAGAAGCTCTTGTGCCGCGACCTCGACACGTGCATGCAGTATGCTGAGAAGACGGGCATGGACTGCTTGACGCTCGACGGTGACGTGGTCCAGCGCCGCGGTGGCTTGAACGGCGGGTACAAGGACCCGAAGCGGTCGCGGTCGCGCGCAATGCTCCAAGTGCGGTCGGCCCAAGCGCAGCTCGACGCGATCAAGGCCGAGGCCAAAAAGATCAAGTACGCCGCGCAGCAGGCCGACCAAATGGTCGCGGGCGTCGTCGGCGAGATTCAAAAGCAAGAGTCGGAGCGACAGTACGCCATGGACACGTACGGGCAGCTCCAGCAGGACTACGACCGCCTCGTGCAACAGATTCAGATCGACACGGCGCACGTGACGGAAAAGACGGCGCTGCTCGCGACGATCCAGTCGGAAATCCAGTCGCTGACGGCCAAGCGGGTCGCGTTCGAAGCCGAATTGGCGCAAGACATGGGCGACTCGCTCTCGCCGATCGAGACGGCCCGCCTCGCGGCTGTGCACGTCCAGATTGCCGAAGTCAAGTCGCACGAACGTCAGTACGTACGTCAGGTCGAAGACGTGCGCGCTCAAACCGCGACGCTCGAGACGCGGCTTCACGACCACTTGCGTCGCCGTGAGAAGGAAATCCAGAGCCAAATCACCGACGGCAGCCTCCTCGCACTGCACGCGACCGAGCGCAAGACGTCGGCAGGGATGAAGGCCGTCGACTTGGCCAACGCCAAGCGTGCTGTGGAGCGCAACCACGTGCTGTACACGGACGTCGAGGCGCAGCTCCGCGCATGCGAAGTCGCGCTTGCGTCCGACGAGATGGCTGCCGAGGAGATCCAAAATGACCTCCAAGCGCTGCTGGCGCAGCTCGGCGACGAAGCAACGCGGGGTGAGAAGATGCTGGCGAAGCGCCGACGGCTCCTCCAGAAGCGCGAGGCCGCTACGCGCGACATTCGCGAGCTGGGTACGCTGCCCATGTCGGAGCTCGAGACGTTCAAAGAGTTGAGCTACAAGGAGGTCTCAAAGCGATTCTCGAAATGCAGCGACCGTCTCAAGGGCTTCTCGCACGTCAACAAGAAGGCGCTCGACCAATACGTGAGCTTTAGCGAGCAGCGCACGACGCTGTTGGCGCGCAAGGCCGAGCTCGACGCGGGCGATGTCTCGATCAAAGAGCTCATTGACGTGCTCGACCGCCGCAAGGACGAGGCCATTCTGCGCACGTTCAAGGGCGTGTCGCACCACTTTTCGCAGGTGTTCAAGGAGCTCGTGCCGACGGGCGAAGGCAAAATGCTCATCATGCGCGCGGACGACGCGACGACGATGGACACGTCGACGTTTGTCGGCGTCCAGATCAAGGTCAACTTTCGCGGCGAAGGCGACTCGTACCTCATGCAGCAGCTCTCGGGCGGCCAGAAGGCGCTTGTCGCCCTCGCCTTTATCTTTGCGATCCAGCGCTGCGACCCCGCGCCGTTCTACCTCTTTGACGAGATTGACCAAGCGCTCGATGCGACGCACCGTGCGGCGGTCGCGGCACTCATCCACCGCCAAGCCCACTCGGAGGAAAACCCGGCCCAGGTACGTTCCGATGCGCCTGTTTGTATCAAGTTGATATTGTCTAGTTCATCACGTCGACGTTCCGGCCCGAGCTCGTGATGGTCGCCGACCAGTTTTACGGCATTGGCCACCAAAACAAGATTAGCACGGTCTACACGATGACGAAGGACGAGTCGCTCGAGTTTATCGCCGACATCATGGCCGACGAAGAAGCTGTCGACGAAAAGACCAACGACGCAGCGTAACGAGGTGCCTTGAATATGCTTCTCGTGTCTCTCCTACGGACCAACTCTTCACTGCACAAGCCATTCAACAAACACCCAACCCGTGTCGCCCAGGCAAGTTGACGTAATTGCATCGGGATCAAGTAGAGAGAGGCGGGGGAAGGTGAGCATGGCACTCATCGTGGTCGGCAGCAACTCGGGTTCCCGAGCGTCAAGGGGATTTGGCAATAGGTTCTGGTTCCTGGCCGAGAACTAACGTAGGATCCATCGCCACCCACCGCGACAACACCATCTCGATCACGCAATGAGCTGCTCCTGTCCCTCCATCAATCCGCTGGGATTGGCTGTCGATGGTTGATACCTTGATACTCGTGCCAAAGTGGGAGCTGAGCCCGCGTGTATTGCCCATGATCTTAGTGCCCATGGTCCTGAGAGATAGGATCTGACTTGAGTCAAGACGCCGCCTACTAAGGTGTACGTCCGAAGTACTAGAAGGGTCTCGACCGTCGGCGGCCAAAAGCTCATCGCCGTGCTGGAGTCATCGTCCGGCAGTACGATAAGCCGAAGGAATATGCGCGTGTGACGAGCAGTCGTCAATGCGAGCTTGGCCAAAGGCTCTCTAGTACCTAGGGACTATAAACAGTTGATATACCCTTGCTATTACTAGTCCACTCCGTGTGTATTAATACACTGTCCTGTTGTGGGATTGTCGACTATACGACCCATTGTACGGATCGTAAATGGGTTTCTATTGGCGACACTGTTCAGCTAACGGGGTTTTCTAACCGACTCTATATCTTTTGGGCGATGAAGCCGGGCAGCCTCGCCGTCGCGTACGCAGCCTTCTGCCACAAGAAGACGACCGAGCCGATTCCCGAGGCCAAGACGATCTTCGAGTAGACGACGATCTTCATGGCCATGGGCAGGCGGCAATGGCATCTCGCGTAGGAAGCATGGCGTGCTCGTGCATGTCGACAACCTCGACCCGGAAGAGGTACGATGGCGACTGCGGCATGGCCTGATCGCTGGCTAGCTGCGTGTCCTCTTTGACTTTATTGCCAAGACGACGACGCTCCAGCATGCGCGCGTCTTTCTCGGGCGCGTACCCATGAAGCGAGGTACGCACGACGACGGTAGAATGGCACGTGCGATCCAGTCGACATAGCACTGCGCACCAAGCTCCTGCGCATGGGCTTGGACGAGCCGTACGCGACGCAGCCTCCTGGGCACATGCGCATCGTGCGCAGCCTCAGCTCTATGCTGCTACATTCCACGAGCCTCGTGTCCTTGGACCTGATTGGCGTGCCCATTGCGAGCGAGACGGTTCCGGACCTCGCCAAGGTCGCTTGCTTGGCTCACTGCATCTTGATACAAATCGATACGATCGGTAGGGACTCAAGGCAGCCACGACGCTCGTGTCCATCGACTTGTCCGAGTCCAAGCTCGGCGACGCAGGCCTCGACCGTACGTCACACCTTGCTCGTCGTCACGGAGCAGCCTGTCCTAGAGCTCGAAGACGCCTTGGCGACGCAGCCCCAGTTGTTGCACCTGAGTCTGGCATCGTGCGAGCTCAGCGACAAGAGCGCCCGCGCCCTCTCGCGCATCCTGCGCGTACATGCCTCGACCCGTTCTCTGCCCATGACAGTATTCTAGGTGCAATGCCAGCGCCGGGACGAGACGTACTGGAGCACGACGCTGCGCGGCCAGACGACGCCAGTCCAAGGCGAGGGCTGCATGCTCCTCAGCGTCGCCTCGAATGCGCTCAGCGATGCGACGACCGAGGTGCTCTGCCAAGCTCTCTACAACGACAACTGGCTGTACGGTCTCAACTTGGCCGAAAATGAAATCGGACCCCGGGGCGTCTTGAACCTCGCCGAGGCGCTCCAAACCAACAGCACGCTGACGGTGCTCATGCTCCACGGCAACAGCGCGACCGGTAGACTCGCGCCCCGGGGCACACGACTCCATGTGTGCTAGATGCCCGCGTCACGACGTTCGTCGACCGGATGCTCCAGGACCGCGTCGAGCGTGCTTCGTCATCGATGCACCACCCGATGGAACACCCTCTGCTCAAGCGCGTGCTGCAGCAGTGGCGAGGACCGGCACCAACCTCCGTAGCCCCCACCGTCGTTCGCAAAAAAGTACAGCGCCGCCCACCGTCACCACCAATGCCATCGTCGTCGTCGTTGCGGCCGCCACCGGCACCGACACCGACACCGACGCCGGTGCGGAGACCGCAACTCTCGGCGCGCAAGGTCACGTCCATCTACGCGGGCACGGTGCGTCCAACGATGTGTGGTGCACGGAGCCGACGGGTGGCTAGAACGGAAGAGCGCAAAAAAGGAAGCCGACACCGACCAAAGCGCGCAAGGTGCCACGACACGAGTCGCCGAGTCTGCCACCACCGCCACCGCGAGTGGGGCCCGCGGAAGCGTCGGCGCTTGACTTACTTGTGGGGGCAAGTCCGCGCTTTTTGAGCTCCAACCAAGACGACTCACTCCCACCGCCCAGCGCACTGGACCGTCGCACGGTAGCCTTGTCTCGGAGGTACTTGGTGGCGCAATGGCTGTGTAGTTTGCCAAGCTGATGGCCAAGATCGAGTCCCTGGAAGCTGCTCAGGCGAGTGCCCAAGCCCACATTGACCGCCTCGAGGTAGACAGATCCGTGGTCTCTGCTTCATGTGGTCATGTGGCACAGGCAGAGAACCAACGCCTCAAGCAGCAAAAGGCGCGCCGGCCGTCCGTCGAAGCCAGCATCATCTCGGAGCTCGAAGCCGCCATCATTCGCTTGACGACGCAGGTCCAGTACCTCGAGGCAGTGCGGGACGAACCGCCCCACGACGTCAACCACGCGACCAAGATACCGGACGCAGTGGTCGACGATTTGGCCGCACAGCTCAAGCTCAGCTTTGGATTAACACCCTAGTGATCAGTATCTACATGGCATCGTCGAGCGGCGCGGGTTTGGGAAACCTACGAGCCATTTCAGAAATCGCCACAGACATTGAAGAACGAGTCGACGGCAATTAAAGAACGCACCGAAAGTCGGGGTTGGGCAAGAACTCGTCGCCGACCCACGTGAATGAGATGCAGTGCGCTGAGAGCCATTGGCGCATCGCGGCCTTTGTCTGGCCGTTGCCCTGGAGACCGTCGACGTGGTCGCGGAAGAGGTCGTTGGTGACGACGCAGCCGTCATGGCGCCCGGCGTACTGGATGCAGTACGAGTCGTCGTAGTCTTGCGGCGGAGTCGCAATCACGGTCCCTTCGAGCACCATACTTTGAAGCAAGCCGACGTCGTCCGGGAGCTTGCTCGGACTCACGTCGTAGCCCGCGCCCGCCATGCGCTTTTGCGCGCCCACCGACTCGTACCGGAGGAGGTAGTCGGGTAAGAACGCCAGCACCTTGTGGCCGCGCGCCATGTAATAGTCAAAGACGAGCCGGATGCCGGCGCACGAAAAGCGCGCGTTGAGACCGTGCCGCATGGCCACGTTGGCCGCGTCGACGACGATGAGGCACTTGGGGTCGTTCGGTGACGCGTACCCGCCACCGGCAAAGGTCGGTGCCGACCGGTGCCGCATGTGCGAGGCGTGGCGCTTTGTCTTCGGAGGCTTGGTGACGTTGAGGTTGACGTTGGCAAGGACGCCACGACCAGGCGTGAGCGCGCGCGCCGAGACGCGGGGTGCCACTTCCGCTTCGATCGATGCATCGTCGTCGTCGTCGTCGTCGTCGCTGTCGTAGCCGCAAAAGCCGCAGGGCAACCGTACAATCGAGTTGGAGCACTGCGGGCAGAGCCGGTCGAGAGCCGTCACCACCGAGAGCGACGGTGGCACGCGCGCTGCGGCCATTGGCAGCTTCATCCAGTCGAGGTCGGTCGCAAGATCGAGAAAGCCGAGGACGCGCGCCACGTAGAGTGACAACGGCGCGTTTTGCACGTCGACGAGGCGGTTGTCCGAGCCGACGCGGCGGTGGAGCGCAGCCGCGCACGGAAGGAAACCGCGGAGCTCGAGGTCTTCGGGCACGGGCGCCCGGTGGCCGTCCCAATGATCATGCACGAGCGGGTCCTTCTTTGCGTGGAGCACCGGCAACAGCTGCAGTAGCGACGTTTGCAGCGCGTCGACGCTCGGATCTCGAAACTCGAGAAACCACGCGTGGCTGCGCAGCCAGTCGAGGAAGATCGTGACGCTCGGCAAACACGTCTGGAGGACCGCGTCGGTCGGCGACCGCGCCATCGCTTGCAGCAGCCCGCTCGTCAGGCCAAAGCTCAAGCGCAGCGCAACGTGCACGACTTCGTGGTCCCGCCAACGGCGCCACTCGGTGTCAAAGCACGGGTCTTGAATCCCGGGGCTCCCGATCGCAACCTACACCCCATGCCATCAGTATCCACGCGTAGCAGATCGATTGATCGATTGATAGATTGATACCTGGGTGTTGTGGACGAGAAACAAGGCAAAGAGCGTGGTCTGCAGCAAGAGGGAGCTTGCGGACGCGCCGCCAAATGGAACGACGGCGAGCGAGTCGATGCAATCGGCAAACAAGTCGGCGCGCGCGACCACGTCGACGCCCGAGTAGAGGACCGAGGCGCCGACCAAGAAGCGCGCTTTGAAGACGCCGAGGCCGTCCACTTCGCGGCGCGGCTTGACCTCTTCGGCTTTGGCGAGCGTCGTGATCAAGTTGTCGCGCGCGCGGAACGGCGTCGTGACGGCGAGGCTGCGCGCGTAGAGGTAGCACGCCTCAAAGCTGTTGTTGTTGTGCAGGGCGAGAAGCGCGAGCTGGTTGAAGACCTTGCCGTTCGACGGCGAATGCAAGAGCGCTTCCTTGTAGTGCACACCGGCCAGCGCCCAGTTGCGGCTGCCCTTGGGCAAGAGGCCTTGCGCATACCGCGAGAGGTCGCCGAGCGCGACGAGCGTCGCATGCACGAAGAGCGGCGCCGCCGACGCGGCTTGGAGCGCACCGAGCAGCTTGTGGTAGAAGCTCGTGCACGTGGCGAGGAGTGCGGAGAGCGCATCACGCACCGGCAGCGACGCTCCGTTGGCCCGGAACGCAGCTTGCGCCACGTCGATCTCGCGGTACCAATTCATCCAGAGGCGCTCGTTGACGTCCTGTTGAGACACGGATGGCATGAGCGACTCGTGACGAAGGAGAGCGTGTGTCGTACCATGCGCCGGGCGGTGTCGGGGTGGCGGAGCAGCAGCTCGACGTAGGCGTCGCGGCTCGCCAAGCGAAGGCAGTTGATGCCACGCTCGTGGTCGCTGACGATCGCGTACGGTTGCGGCCTAGACCATTTGAGCGCAGGCGAGACAAGGTAGCGTACGTGCGGGGCGACCCGAGGAGACGCTTCAAGTGCTCTTCCCAGCGCTTGAGGAGCGACAGCAGCTCATCGGGCTGCATGCCCGCAGGGTTGAAGCCAAACGGATACCCTTCGTCGTGCGGGCGGGTTGTTGCATGCGTCGTCGGCGAGCTACGTGCACGACGGTGAGCATATTGGCATGGGTTCAAGGCGCTTTACGTGGTCTTGGTCGGCGGCTTGGTCTGCTTGTGCTCCTGCAAGAGCGAAAACATGACTTCGGCGCGCACGAGCTTCTCGACCGTCTCCTTCTCGACGCGCTGGATCATGAGCGCTTGCGCATGCTCGCGCTTCTTGCGCTCGTCCTCGGTCGTCTTGCGGTGCTTGCGATCTTTTTGCAGATGCGTGGCGCGGCTCTTGCGCGACTCAACGATCTCGTGGTCGTCCATCGACATGGCTTGCTGCATGCGGTCAGCGAGCTCGTTCTCCTTAATCTTCTTGGTCTGCTTGGTGGGCTTGCGGCGGGGCGTCGTCTTGGGCGGGGCCGCCGGCACGTACAGCCGCGGGTCGGCAGCGTCGTCGACTACGACCTGCATGAGCGACTGCTCACATACAGCGTCTACCTTTGGTCGCTGGCTTCTTACGGTATCGGCTTCGCGCTTGCGATGATGACGTTCCTTCCTCCGACATCTTTCGTCATGAACCGCGAAGCGAATGAGCCAGCGCGAGGTGAGCAGTCTAGGGGGCCCCTCTTAAATCGGCCAATACAGTCATCAAGTTGCGCGGCGGAGACGAGAGTAGGGGGTGTACCACGAACGTTACTGTCACGGATTGGCTAAAAATAGGCACATTTCGAACTCAATCATCCAATGAGCTACTAGTATAATAGCAAGGCCGTCCATCTCGACTCTAGTCCTTGGTCCCTTGATCACCTTAACAAAGGTCTAGAGCCCCTTAAGGTAAGGGGCTCGTAGCTCGAGAACCCGAGCAGTAAGGATCTTCATGCAAATGGCTCACGTTCTTGGCTTGAAGTTGATGTGTCTAAACCCACGCTACTTAACCCGTCGGTATCCGAATTCTCCGGATAAAGACGCCAGCCATGCACGAGCGGAGCGTCGTCGGGCTCGTCCAGCAGCTGCGGACGCTGGCCGAGGTAGCTCAGAGGAACGAATGGCCTCGTACCTCATGCACCGCTACGTAGCCGACTGTGCCATGCCGCCGGCTGCGCGACGTCCGCCACGAGATGGACGTCTTGCTCTTTACGCATGTACGTTCTACACTGTCGAGCTTGAAGCGTCATCTCCGCCTTAGCTCGCGACGGCCAGCGAGATCGTGGTCGCCGACATGGCCCAAGCGCACGTGCAGCGCAAGGCGGCGTCGTTAGCCTACTGCCTTCGCGAGCGCGACCTGTACGACGCATGCACCGCGACGATGGCTCATCGGCATCACTTGCATAGGGCGCTCATGGCGGATGGCATCGAGGCCATCGTCGATTCCTGCCTGCATGGTACGCGCTTCCACTTGTCATTCCCATCGATAACACCTATGCTGTGCAGAGCGTCGCCTGGCTGCCTCGACCATCGACATGCCGGGCGTGCTCCGCGTCCTCCTCGCGCTCGCGGGCGGTCACGATGGAACGACCTTTACCGAGTGCTGCCTCGGCCCATCTACGATTCAAGTACATGCACCTACATCTGGCAGTGGATGATAATGGGTGACCGTCCTAGCTCTTGCGCGCCCAGCCCACGACGCCCAACACGATCTCCAACCTGCGCCGCGGCGAGGCCATCGTCCAAAGCAACGTTGGACTCCTTGTCGATCCCACACGTCTCTATGGCGACACGCCCTTCGTGGCCAACGATGACGAGGCGTGTGTCATTCTTGCCACTCGATGCATGTCACCATCTCGCCCTGCTTAGGGACGCACTTGTGACGGCGTTCACGGCCGTGCCGGGCAAGAGCGATGTGCAGAGCGACGTGTGGCGTGACCAGGTGACAGCGCCGTCCTCGCTCTTTGGCGCACTCCACCACACGACCTTTCACCGGTCGGACGCGCAGCTCGAGCGCTTCGAGGTGCGTCGCCGCATCTGCCTGTCACCAGCCGGACAAACAGGGTTGGTAGATCTCGATGGCGCTGCCGACGCTGGCCGAGACCGCCCCCGACATGGTCCAAAGCGCGCTCTTGTACGTCGCACTGTCCTCTTTGCGTCTCGAGTCAGTGCTAACGGAGCAGTGTAGGACGGGCCACGAACTCATGCCCAAGCGGCTTCAAGGACCACAGCCGCGCCATCGACCCAAGCCGATAGCGTCGAGTACACCGCGGGACGCGCCCGAGCTGCTCTTTTCGCAGCAGCAGCGCACTGTGCACATCCCGATCACTTCGTCGCCCGAGAGAGACCTGTGGTGCGAGGCCAGCGCCGAGACTGCGATACCAACAGGACGGACAGGCGTGTCGGCGTGGGAAGAGCTTGGTCCGCACACCTCAACGTCCACGCCACGGAGCATGCTTCGACTCGGCCGCGGTCTGTACGAAGAGGACGTGTACGGCGGGCATGACGCGCTGTGCCATGTCGTGCGCGTCCACGCGACCCGCGTCATCGACGTACGAGCCAATGTTGGCGTATATGGGGATGACCGCTGCGTAGGCCGTGCTGCTGGCGCTGCAAGGCACGCCGTCCGACTTGTTCGCCGTGCGGCGGGACACCATGAGCATGTGCGTTGTGTCGGAGGAGCTGCGCTTGCACGGCGCAGTCTCCCGCAATTTGCGATCGCTTTTGACGGTAGAGTCGGCTCTTCCGCGTCCACTTACGCTGTAGGATGTGCCGTAGACATTGGCGACGACCGCGACGTACGTCGTTCGCTTACAAGCGCTGGCTGACGCACTGTGCGGTCGGCAGCGGCTGGCGCTGGCCGAGTGCCTGCATACGTTCTTGGCGGCGCAGCAAGTACGCTCGTCGCCCTACTTGTAGCGTGGATCGATGCGGCGTAGGCGTATCTGCTCGACGTCCACGCACCGACCGTGCTTGCGCTGCTGACGACGACGCGGGCGCTCTGTGATGGCGCCGCTGTCATGGCGTCCGTGTTTTGCTGTGACGACGACACGCTCTGGGTCGGCCCGTGCGAGTACGCCGATGCGATTGGCCGACCGGTGCTTGACGCGCTGCCGTCATCGGACGGCGCGTTTCTCGATCACGTGTACGACAAGCTCGTGCTCGGCCAGATCTGCGCGCCGCCGACGACGACGCTGTACATGTGGCTCTTTACAGCGCTCAGTGCACCGTACCTCGCATCGCTCTCGCGCGCGCTCTTCGTCGGCGACGAAGAACTGGACGGCGTACGTTGTTGTCTCGGTGAGGCTCGTTCTAAGCACGCTTGGTACGTAGCGCTTGCCGCACTGCTTGGCCAAGTACGACAGATGGGTCGAGTCGATTGCCGAGTCCCGCACCCTCCTTCGGCTTGTCCAGGCCATGGCGCCAACGCTCTACGGCCTACTCACCGTACGCTGGTCGGTCAAGACATGCTCATGCCAGCGTATAGGCGACGTATGAGCCGCTGCGCATCGAGACCAGCATCGTCGCGATCCAAGCCGCCCAAGCGCGCCATGCAGCGCACCTCGATGCGTGCCAAGCCCGCGTCGCGACACTCAAGCAGGCACGACTGCAGGCGCTCGCTGATGCCATCGTGGCCATGCAGCGTGCGCCGCGGGATGAACGCGCCAAGACGTCGGCCTTGGACGTACGCACCACGGCACGATCGCAGAGGGTATACCGCTCATCTAGGACGCATTGCGGCAGAAGCAGCTGCGCAAAGCGCGCCAAGCGCTTCAGAAAGAGCTGCTCGATGCGCAGATCGCGGCCGACGCGACGCTGGCGCGTGCAACGGCCGCCAAAGTCCAAGCCGACGACGCGCGCGCGGCAGACGCGCAAGCCGCCCGCGACGCAGCCAAGTTTGCAACCGACAAGGATACCATCGTGGCCATGTACGCCGCTCTTGTGGTTGGCAACACAATGAAGCGGTTGTCTGTAGCTACGCCGATTTGATGGAGCGCGCGGAGCACCGCCACCGCGTGCAGCTCTGGCGACAAGCCCGGCTGGCGCGCAAGCAAGTCGCCAGTCTCCAGCTCGACGCGCTTTTGAGCGCAGATGCTGCCACGTGGCTGCACGGTATTGGCGTCTCTTCGATGTCAGTTCGAATTGCAACAATGTGTAGCTACGCAAGGAGCCTCCACGAGCCATCCCTATGACGACTTGCTTGCGGCTACATCCCGCCAAGACAGCGGCGCGTCGAGTGGCGAGGTCCCAGTGACGCGCATCAAAGTGCTGCAGGCACCGGGTGGACACAGCGACGGTGTCGTTATCCCGATTACCGAAAGCACGACAGGTGCATCGAGCTCGGTGCGGGTGTTGCGCGCGCCGGGTGGCGGTGGCGACGACGCCAAGCACATTCTCTACGGCAATCGTGACGACGACGACGCGCTCGCTGCGTCGTTTGCGCATATTCGCGTGCAGCAAGCGCCCGGCGGGTGCGGTGAGCAGGCGGCCGAGGCCATGTACCGTGGCGATACCGCGGTCGACGACCTCGTGGCGACGATCAAGGTGCTCCACGTCCCCGGTGGCGGCGGCGACGCGGCAGCCAGCGCACTCTACGAGGGTGCAAACGCAACGTGCGACGAGGTGGCGTCGGTGCGCGTCTTGCGAGAACCCGGCGGCGGTGGCGATGACGCAGCCGACGCTATATACGGCACCGACGCAGCCCTAACCGCCGTCGTACGAGGAATCAAGGTGCTGCAGGTGCCCGGCGGTGGCGGTGGCGACGCCGCCGCGCTTCTCTACCCGAGCACCGACGACGACGATACGGCGCGACCGCTGCGATCCCAGGTCAAAGTCTCGCAAGAGCCGGGCGGGAGCGGCTCGGATATGTGGCACATGCTCTACGCCGGCGCCGACGCCACCGAATCGTCGTACCGGCCGGGTGTTCGCGTGCTCTCGTCGGCACCTGGCGGCGTCAGTGACGACATGGCCGACGTCCTGGACACGACGCGTCGTCCTGACAACGACGTGGCGTCCATACGCAGTCAGGTGCGCGTGCAGCAAGCGCCCGGCGGCGATGGCAACGACGTCGCCGACACGCTCTACGCACAGTTCACGTCGTTGTCGATGGCCAAATCGAGCGTCCGCATCTTGCAGCCGGCGGGCGGCGGCAAAGACTCGGTCGGCGCGCTGCTACGCGGCCCTACCACGGGCGGCACCGTCGACCGTGAGCGTCCATCAGTGCCGTCGACGGCCGACGCACCTCGCACGTCCCGCCAGTGGCTGCAATGGAAGCTGGCGCGAGCGTCCATGGCGCAGGCGTACGCGAGCACCGAGCTTCTTCCGCGCACGGTCGCCCCCCTCGAGATGGCGACGATGGCCGCCCTGTACACGCAGCTGCTCGGCCACGAGGTACGTCGAGTTTGCACCTCTGAAAATGCTGAAAAAAGCTGAAAATGTTGGGAAAAAAGCGCGAAAACCTAACATTTTGCGGGGTTTAGCCAGATGCATTTGCGCCGATCGACACGCTACTTGTCGCAAGCCTCGATGCACCGATCCGCGGGTTCCGGGCGCTCGTCGGCGCCGTCGCCCTCGACGCCCTCCGGGACGACATGCGGTTGGTCGACCACCTCGCGACCTTGCATGACACCATGCTCCTCTCGGGCGGTGCGCACTTGGCTCGCCGCTTTGGTGATGTGGAGTATTGTAGGTCTCTGGGTCGACATGTTTATCAAAACTGTGGTGGACGGTCTGGACCATGCCAAAGTGCAGTGGGGCGCGCCTGACGTGCTCAACGACGCGATGGCGAGTGCCATGACCGAGGCTTCGTACACACCGCGGGTGCCCGGGCGCTTTGCCTACGCGTCGTCGTCGACGCTCACGTCCCGTACGTCGTACAGTTTATGTGTTCATCGGACACGTTGTGCTTCTAGTGCTGGCGCCGCATGCGATGAGTGTGTCGGTTGCGTCCTTTGTTGTGACGCTGACGCCGACGTACGTCATGCCGGACGCCCTCACCCTCTTCTTACCGCCGTCGGCGGTGGCCAAGTACGTCGAGGTCCACCGGTTCCTCTTTCAACTCAAAGCGACGTTGGCCCAACTCCACAACGCTCGCCGCCGCTTGCGCTGGCTGCTCACGCGCGTGCAGCTGGCGCTGCAAGAGCGTCGGGCGATCGATCGCGCGCTCTACTGTCAGCACCACGTCGCTGCCACGTTGCACAGCTACACGTCCCAGGTAGCAGAGGGTACCGCTTACTGGGCGACGATGCAAATTAGGTGCTCGTTCATGAGTGGCATGCGCTCCGCGAGGCCGTGGCGACAGCAACTGACACGATGGCCCTGCAGGCACGCCACGACGCCTACGTGGCGACTCTCCTGGCGCGGTATACCTTGTGAAAATGCGCACTTCGAACCCCGGTTGGAGTAGGTGTTTTCTAACCCGCGGCGCGGCCGCCGTGCAGACGGCAGTGCAAACGTGCTTGACGCGACTCTCGATCATGTGCACGCAGCTGCAGCTCGGGTCGATCGCTACACCTGACCACACCAAAGAGCTCTTGCTGCACGTGCTGGATGCAGCGCAGGACCATGACGGCGACGCAATCGCGCTCTGCGATGCGCTGCGGCATCAGCGCGAGTGCGACGGCCATGCGTCGGCGTTTGTCGAGGTACGTTTGCAGCATTTGGTTGGGCGGTGCCATGCGTCGCGTAGGACTTGCTCTTGCAGCTCAACTGGAATGGCTACTATGGTAGTTGAGTGCTTAAATAAAGAGCCGCAGGAGCTGGTTGCGGGTCACGCGACGTCGGCACACGGGGCACTTGTGCTTGGCGCGCTGCAGCGCTTGCATGAGGCACTCGTCGCAAAAGACGTGGCCGCACTTGGTGGCGACGGGCTTGCAGACCGCGTCGAGGCAGACGGGGCATTCGAGCGCGGGCCGGCGGTCGGCTTGCGGCGAGTCGCGCGGGAGGTCGAGCGGAATCTCTAGCAGTTCGCCGAGCGACTTGGTGGCGACAGTCGTCAAATGGTCGTCGCTGTCGTCGTCCGAGCTGTAGAGGAGGCGGTCGCAGAGCGCAGAGGTCGTTGGATGCATGGTCGAGTCGTTTGCACACTGATCATGTAGGGCACCTGCTTCAACTTGCAGCAGGTTGATAGTCTAGTTGCACGCAACCAATCAAGTTGTTTCAACCTATGGATTTCGGCGACGAGCAAAGCACCTGTGCGAGACAAATTTGCCAAGAGACAAATTTGCCAAGAGACAAATTTGCCAAGGGAGCTTCTCTGAGGTGGTCGGAGCGAATGGGCAGAGTCCGCCTTGTAAGGAATAATAACGGAATAAATACGAATATCGGGGGTGCGAAGCCATTCAAGATAGTGAAATCACCAGTGGTGATCGTCAAGTGTATACGTGTTGCGGATGGTACCTTGGAGAAACTTGTGGCTCAGTGGCAAAAATGGGCGCGAGACGACGAGTCGCTGCACTCGGCTGTTAAGAGTGCAATAAATAAATAGCCAGAAAAGGTAATTATTATCCGGAAACGGTCAAGCTTGATGTTTCATTCGCTGATAACACCGTGCCATTCGTTTGCAGAATTCTTTTCTTCACGTTCCAAAATCCACGAGAAGCGGCGCTGTCTTGTTCCACGACCCTGCAGGAGCCAGTCAGAAAGACTCATTTGGGTGATTTTAGTCGACCGGATACATATCCGGATGTTCGCCCTTGCAGCGTGATGTTCTGGAGTATCAAGGTATCAATAATCTTGTGGGGCACCTGCTGTTCCAGGCGCCCGAGTGCAATGCTTTTTTCATTGTATCAAGCTGCTTATCCAGCGCTGCATTATTTTCCGGTTTCTAGTACATGTACTGTACATAAATTATCCGGAGATATCCGGATAACGCCGTGCCTGGAAGGTACCCTGCTCGTAATGCTGTCTCACTGGGTTGTTCGGGTGCTAAACGACATTGGCGCGAGTGAGGAGAGCTCTCTTCGGGTACACTACATGCCCACGTCCAATGTTGTGGTTATTGTTTGCATTTAGTGTCTTCATTTTATTCGAATTTCCATCTAAAGAATATGGGAATAGTCATGTAGTATGGCAAAGTCCTTGTGACCGAGCGGTCCAAGGTGCTAGACTCAAGTTCTAGTGTGTTCGCACTCGCGGGTTCACATCCCGCCGCTGACAGTTTTATCGCTATCCCCCGTACAACAGAGGTATCGATTGGCATTGCCGGTTCCGTGCAAAAGGGAAGTGTCACGTTCCCATCAAGCTGGCATGCCGACCGCCGACAAGGGCCTTCGAAGAGGTCGTCACAAGCATGCAACGATGTATACGCGGGCCACGCAGTTGCACCAGTCAGGATGCAAGGCTTTTTGCGAAAACAAGACGTCGACCATCTCCAGCGGGTACGACGCCAACGCTCGTGCCGTCGGGCAATCGACGATCGTCGTGTCTTGTCGTCGACGTTCTTGATACATGCAGCCCATCTGTACTCTCGAGTCGTTTGATGAACGTCAGTGAAACTATAGTATGGCGATGTTAGGACTCAAGACCGAAGGCGCTTGGCCGGCGGTGCGTTCGTCACACTGGCTGCCGCGTCGTCGTCCTGTCGTTGGCGCACCAAGGTTGTGACGAATGCCGAGACGTGGGCGTGGATCTTTCTCATCTTCTCGGCCATGTACCACTCGGCGTCGGCGACGTCACCTGGCTGGCGCACCTTCTCGAGGACATACACCCGGGGGAAGGGTTGGTCCTCGCCAAGGACGATAACCGGCTTGCGCTCGCGTCGACAACACGCATTAGTCTCGGACAGACGCCGTCGTCGCTTGCGCACGATCTCGTACGGGTCGTGCCTGCTTGTGTCAAGAACCGATCTGCCTCATCGCACTGGGGGCAGTGGTTCGGGTTGAGAGTCCACGGCCGAGGCAGGGTATAGTCGGCGAGGTGGGGCAGAGCGGCAAAGCGATCGATCGTCGCCTCCACCAGCACATCGTAGGCGCCGCTGTGGCAACCGAGGCGCGTTAGAACCGGCACCAGTCGGTCGTGGATCATACTAAGCGTTGTCGGCAGCCGCTGGAGGTACCTCGTTGCAAAGGCACGCGCCCTGCTTGGCGCCATGCGCTCCAAGAATGCCAGAGCGTCGACGAGGATGAGAACACCGGGTTTGGCTGCGAAGCTCTCGTCATTGGGGCGTACGGGGACGGGACAGAGATGCCACTCGGGCCACTGGGACTCGTCCACGAGCGCATCCACCGAGGTATCGATGAACGCAGCGACAAGCTGGTTCAAAAGCGCGTGGTTTGGAAACTCAAGCGCAATCGAATGGACCGTCGGGAGCAGTCCCAGGCCACAAACGTCGACCAAACTGTGAAAGAGCGACGTATCCAGACACTGCGAGACGCACGCCAAGAAGAGGACCGCACTGGCAACGTTGGTGGTAATGGCCGTCAGCGTGTCAGCCGTCATGGGCCGTATCGCCGCAAAGATGGTCTCGAGCACCGTCGGTGGCAGCGGCAGCGACATGTGGCAGCGCACGGCCGACTCGAGCCCGACGGCCAGGTCCAAAAGCGGTAGCGGCGACGACGAGAGCAAGCGATCGACTGACGGGTAGGCAAAGAGATAGGCGTCGATCGCTGGTACAAAGATCAGAGGTAGACGCTGACTCACATAGTTGGCGGCTTGGCGCTGCGGCACGAGTCTCGTCACGTAATCTTCGAGCAAGAAGAGACCGGTGACAAAGGTCGGACCGCGATCGAATCGGGTCATCTCGGTGCCAACGAGGCCAGGCGTCGCCAGCATGACGCCGTAGCAGCGCTTGAAGAGCTCGGCGTCGTACGGTTGACGCAGCGGTCGACACAATACGGACTTGGTGTTGAGGCCGGCCAAGCTCGTGAGTAGCTGCAGCGTGGCGTCGGGATCAGAGTTGATCCAGCGCCGAACGAGCCCAAGCACCGACGCCTGCAGCGGCTCCCATCCATGCTGGGACAAGAGACAGTGCACGACGGGACCGACTTTGGTCGCCACGAGCGCCTCTGTGATTGCGACTGCATCCAAGAAAGCCGCCGAGAGCGCCACGTCCTTCAACGCGACCAAGAGCATCTGCATCTTCTGCAGGAACGACAAGCTGCGTTCTCGTCGCAGCTGGCGAAGGTCGTGGGTTGTGAGCATCCCTTCCGGTTGCACCAGAGACGGGCCGGGCCATGCACGCCGACAAGTGGCATTGCACCGAGAAGTAGCTCCTTCGTGTCCGAGACACCAAGGTACGCAGCGGCTTTGTCGCCATGGCGCTCGCATACTCGCTGCTCCAACACGTCCCAGACGGTGACGGGGTCGACAATGCAGACACGGTGGCGCGTCGGCCAGTACACGGGCACGCACGACGGACACTGGAAGGCAGTCGACTGCGGCGGCGGCAGGTGCAAAAGCCTTGGAGCGTCAGGCCAATCAAGCTCTGGGCGACGGCGTCGGGGATCCCGCACGTTGGGTGCGGCTCGAATGCTTTAATGACGCCATTTCGGTTCATGTCGAGGCTCGCAAGACCGACGCCGTAGGTGCCGGCGGCGAGAAGCACGTGCACGAACCCCGCCTCCCAAGTCGTGAGCGACGCAAACGAGAGATATTGCTCCTCCATGTCCTCCAGCTCCAGCCCGACGCACTGGACTTCTTGCGTCGTTGACTGCGCAATCGCACGGAACGCCGCGATGGCCGCGTCCTGCGCTGGCGGCACCATGCGCATGGGCCCGTCCACGTCGCCATAGTACAAACGGTACACGAGTGCAACGCGGCGCCCGGACGTGATGGGCGCCGACGTGATGGTCGCGCAGAGAAAGGCGGCGCTGAACGGTGTCTCGACGAGCGACGCGGCGTCGTCAAATGTTGTCGAGTGGCCGCCAAACGTGAACGTGACGGCGCCGCCCGTGTGCTCCGACGGAAGCAGCACCAGAAGCATGCCAAACGTGGTCGTATTGACCGTGTCATCGTTGGAAGGCTGGAGGCGAAAGCTGTCGGCGTCCCCGACGTCGTCCACGATCAAATGCGAGAGCTCCATGTACACGTCGCTCGATGGGCCCAAGTGCGGGACATAGGTGCGGTACATGGCCGCATGCATGTCGTGGTAGCTGTTCATGAAGCGCTCGTCAAGATGAATGTTGGCCGCAGAGATGGTCTTGTCGGGGTGGAGTCCGGCAATCTGCGCTGCCTGCGCGGCGCAGAGCGGCCACGAGACCGGCTCGTCCATACCCGTGAGGCAGAAGAGCACTGGCGCCGGGTGCGGGAGTGAGCTCATAGCGGCGAACGCGCTCGGCTCTTGGACCAGCTGGAACGCAGCTTCGTGCGCTGCAAGCGCCCGATTCGCCATCGCCGGAAAGTGCAAAGTCGTCGACACACTATTTCTGTGGTGTCGACCAATCCACCAATCGTTTGGCGCGCTCGACACAATATCGAGCAATTGCAATCTATTGCAATCTATTGCAATATATTAGTAATGGGTAGGCAATGACGTGGCATCGTCGCACAGGAGCAAGGCAGAAACGACGTTTCGACAGAGTCGAAGTGGGCGTGTCAGCCAACACGCCAACGAGATAACTCGACTAACGGCGTCAACGACGACAGCGCGCACCTCGGGCGCGTGCTCGATGGCCTTGTAGCGCATCTCGAGCTCTGTACCTCGGACAGGTTGCACTTTGTGGGGCGCCGCAGCGGACCCTGTCCTAGACACCGTTCGACGTGTGAGCGGCGCTGTGGTTGCAAGCGTCTCATTTGCGAGCGAGCGCTTCTTGCGCTTGGGTTGGTCATGCAGGTGTCCAACAGGCGGGGCCCAAGCGGGTGGCACCTTTCAGCCAATCAAACATCGACTTCGATCAAACGCGTCGTTGATTGGCTCAAAAACGATCCCGAACGGTCGCGGTGGTGCCAACGCCAACGGCCAACTGGCGGCTTTTGGGCGCGGCAGACAGGACAGAGAATGGCGTCACGGGTGCTCTATGTGCCCAAGCGAGCCGAAGCGGAGCCGAGCCCCGATGTCGTCTACGCCGAGTACTCGATGCAATGCCGCGACCACGTGAAAGCCGACCCGGCCGTGCAGACACTGCTCCACGGGTTCTGGGACGTGGCTGTGAAGGACGTGCACGGCTTTATCCACCAAGTTCTTACTTTCTCTTTGGCGCATTTTCTGGTCTCAAGCTCGTCTGTGTCTAGGAGGCCTATCTCGATGTCTTGCAGCGCATCGCGTACGCCATGGTGGCCAACGCGACCCCCGAGACCGCGCGCGACCTTGTTGCGGTATCTCCATTTCTTCTGCTTTGTCGCTACGATACCATGTAGCGGGACTGGGCCAACGACGCGTTCAACCAAGAGTACATGCATTTCAGCCCGTTTATGGACGCGCTCTTTGAGATCTGCGACCTCTGGGTGCCGTATGTGGACTCGCGCGAGGTACGCTTTCCGCTTGTTCAAATCTGAAATGAATCAACTTTTTCTAGTATGTACATTTTTTAACTGCGCTGCAATCGATGGTGTTACGGCCCAACGTGGCCGACATGGCTGCCGTGCTGCTGGAAGACCAGCCGATGCTCGACGGTTGCCTTCCACGCGTCCTCGCGCCTCTCGACGGTACACCACCGGCGACGAATCGTGGTGGCAATATAAATGTGCGTGCGAGTAGACATGACGCGCTGCCCGCACAAGACGTTGACACCGGGGCTCGAAGACTCGTACCGCAACGGTGTCTGGCTCCTCGCGACGACCCTCTCGCCCGAGTCCAAGTCGCTCTCGTTCAAGGCGCTTTTGTGCACCAACCACGCAAAGGTGTTTGGCGCGTTCTCGCAAAAGATCGTTGCGACGACAAAGGCCATGTCCGAAGGCGGGTTTGTTGAATTTGCGCGTAAATTCAAGGTCCACAGCTCGAACTTGAAGCCGCTCAAGCCCGTTGAGCGCTCGAACGAAGGCAGCCGGTACCGTGTACACTACTTGACCAACGCGCGCCAGCAGGATGCGTGGGACCCGGCGTTGGCGTCCATTGCGCAGCTGCTCGGACGACGACCGGGCATCTGCGTCGTGGGGCCGCCCGGTGTCGGGAAGACCCGCTTGGCACGCTCGCTCGCGGCCGAGCTCAACCTCGAGTACATTGGTCTGGCGGCGACGCTCGAGCTCGTCTTGTCGCAGCCGCAGCCGACGGCCGAAGAAATCTTTGAGAGCGACCTTCTCCAGCTCAAGCAAAAGGTCAAGAGCATGCTGCGCCGAGGTCAGAGTGTCAGCCGCGAGTACGCGATCGACCTTGTGGTCGACTACATCAGCCACCATCTCCAAGGTACACTTGAAACCTTGATACGTCGATCTGTAAACGGATATGATGACTAGAGTGCCAGGGCTACGTGCTCGATGACGTGTACCCGCACGAAGTCGTCGCGCTCCGCGATGCGAATGCGATGGACGTACGACAATGCATACTTTGTGGATCGTGGATAGGTGATTTGGATCGATTGGTGTAGATGAGTGTGACGCACTTGCTCTGTCTTCGCGGGACCCACGCCAACGTCGAAGCCCATGTTGCAACGTTGCTGCTCGACCCCAAGACGCGCGCGATCTCCTCGGCCCGCGACCGGACGATCGCCAGTGACGAGAACGGCTTTGCGAGCACTTTCATTGAGCCCGAGCCGCTGCTCGTCACGGTCGAGGCGCAGCCCGTCGTGCCGCTTCCGACCAACGACGACGACAACGCAGGTGCGGATGACGACGCGTCACCGCGCGACGACGAAGAAGGGGTTGTCCACGAGCCACCGCCAGATCCGAGTGCACCGTTTCGAGTGCCAGCCTACGAGCTATCGCAGCTGGACAAGTACGCGCCGGCGCCATCGAATGATCGATGCTTGAGCGTGGCGTCCGTCTACCTCAAGCAGCTCTCGAAAGGCATGCAGGACTTTGAGTCGGGTGTGAGCATGACCATGCAGCTCGTCAAGACGCAGCTCACGATCGTCGATGTGATCTTTCACCAGTCGCCCAACGGCGTCTTGCAGCACGCTATCCATGCGGTGTCGGGGGTGCGTCTTGGCTTCGTTTTGGTCTCGTCTCATGCATAGCGTAGGCACACCCGCCACTGTCGCGCCTTCCGCCATCCCTCTCGGCCGTTCGCGTTGAAATGCCCTTGGACGTTCTCAGCCAGCCCCGAGACGAGCAGCTTCGGTGGCTTTTGTACGGTGAGCTGCCCGTGCCGCCCGAACACCAAGCGCTGCTGCCACCCAACGAGCCCCGGACGCTCTCGGTGTACCGGTCCTTCTGTCCTGTTCTATGGGCGTCCGGCGAGGTGGTGCCAGGTGTGCCCGAGTTCCACGCCTTCTTTGCCGGACGGGTACGGTCTAAATCCTGCTGCGATAGTCTGACGAATGGAATGTGTTAGCTCTACGTGATGGCGTCGAAGGAAACCCAAACCGCATTTCTCCGGCACCCGCACTCGGTGCTTCGGCACTTGGTCGATAGCAGTGGCTCGCCGTCGTACCCGAGCACGCCGCTGCCGACCAAGCTCTGGGTACTGACCTCGACGCCAACATGGAGTGTGGACCACCCTATGTACTCTGCCGTGCTGGCGGCGCTTGCACACAAGCTGCAGGTCGAGACGCTGGATCCACTCTCGGTGCTCCGGTCGCCGTCCCTCGACTCGCTCCACACGGTCGTGCTGCGCCAAGGCCTGACCATGTCCCACGCTATGGTGACGCAGCTCGTGCTTGACGAAACGTTCTCGCGGAGTGGGTACATTCTGCATGACTTACCGCTCGACGAAGCGACCGTGGGTACGATCGAAGCCAACAACGCGTCTCTGGACCTTGTGCTCGTGCTCGAGCCGCCCAAAGCGTCCGACGCGGCCGAAGCCAGCTACGGCGAGAAGCTCCAAAAGGTCCTGTCGCGTCTCGGCCAAGTGCCGGTCGCCCATGTCGCGATGGACCCCAGTGCCGATGCGGACGATAACGTAGCTGCGATTGGTCGCGCTCTCCGCCGCCTCGATCGAAACCGCGTTGACGGGCCCGACGACGGCTGTACCAAAGAGGACGAGAGTACCAAACCATGGGGCGCCACGGGCCGCTTCTGCCCCGTGACCTACTGGAACACGGCGAGTTTGCATCGCACTGTGCCCGGCAAGACCGAGTATATGAGCTACGTCGACCAGGCCAAGTACGCAATGGCAGGCCCCAAGGAAAAGGCCATGTTCGATCGGAACCCGCGTCGGTACTTGCCGACAGCGCCGACCACGGAGTTTCGACCTGTGGTGTGGCTACATGGTCTCACAGGCTCGGGCCGCTCAACGCTGGTACGATCGTTGCTGCTCTATGGTACCGATGTCTATATGGCTGTGGTAGGCCGCGCACCTTGTTGAGGCCCTACGCGATGAGCCAACGAGCATTGTGGACTTGGCGGCTGTCGCCGCGGCGACGGCCAAAGCCATTCGACTGCAGCAGCATGCGTTGGGCGACGGCGAGACGCTCGACGAAACGAGTCGGACGCAGTTGTACGTTGCGGCGCTGGGGCACGAGCTGTCGCGGCATGCGACAACCGGGGGCAGTCTCTGCCTCGCGCCGGGGCTAGGCCCCACGCGGCTTCCCACTCGAGAGCTGCTGACGCATTGCGCCGACCAGCGCTGGCTTCCACTGCTCGTGGTACCGCTGGCGATCGACGAGGCGGCGATCGTGGCCCGGCGAATGCGCCAGTGGGTGTACACTCCGCCGCCTGCAGACCCGGACGCAGCCGACGACGACGGCGCCGAGCCCGAGGACCCCAAGCTCAAGAAAGAGCGCTTGGCGGCTGAAGAAGCGGCCGCTCGCGACGACGCGACGCAAGCCATCGCGAGCGACGTGGCTGCGGAGCTCGAACTCTACGCCGCCGGCCTCGCGTTCTTTCAAGAGGTCGGTGTCGAGGTGGCACCGCCGATTGACGCGAGCCGGGGGCCAACCCGCGTCCTCAAAGAGGCACTGCGGCGCCTCGAAAACCATGTGCTCACGCGCCGCCACCAGCTCTTTTGCGCCCCCGAGCGACAGCCCGTCACGCGCCTGGGGCCGCTGCTATCGGCGGGGTACATTGCACTGGGCCACCATGGTCCGTACTGTCCCGTGAGCGATGCTTGCATCCCAACGCGGCAGTCGCCCGAGGCGGTGCTCTACCGCAGTCGCGTCTACGTGCCGAGCTCCGAGGCGGTGGCTGCCTTTCTGGCAACGCCCAGCGCCTACGTGCAGCGACCAACGAAACCGGGTGCAGTCGTCGCGTCCATCGCGGTGATTGGTCCGCCGCACTGCGGCAAGACGACGTTGGCCAAAGCGCTCGCACGGATGCACCAATGGGTCTACCTGAGCCTCGACAATATCCTCCACTGGGTCCTCCGGTGTCAAAACGAGACGGAGTTGTACGTAGCAGTCTCCGAGTACGTTGCCTCGCGGACGCCATTGACCGTGGACGTCGATCTCGTGCCCGACAACATTTTGCTCCAGTGCATTCTCTTGCGCATCAAGGCCATTGACGTGCAGCAGTCGGGCTACGTGCTCGACGGGTTCCCGAGCACTTTGCGGCAAGCGTCGCTCTGGGAAGGCCTCCAGCGCACCGAGCCGTCGATGCCAATGAGTATCCTGTGCCTTGACGCTTCCGTTTCCTCCATTTTGCGCCGGTCGCCGCCTCCGTCGCACATCAAATTTCTCAAGTCCATGGCGCAGTGGCAACTCCATCGTCTGCGCTTGCTTGTGCTGTACGCCATGACGTACGGCGTCGGGTACCTTAAAATGCTCGACACCAACGGGCGCAGTGTGTGGCACGTCCTGTCCGATGCATCCGAGCTGCTTGCGCGCATCGTCGGTGCGGCCAACGGGTAGGATACGATTTCTGCGCTTGTAGCGATAGGCTGGTTGACGTTAGGTACATGCAAGCCATAGCGTCCGGTGGCGCGGCGCCGCTCCAGCACCTTCGCTTCTCGCAAGTGTACTTGGACTCGCACACGAACATGCGCCTCGGCGGGCTCTGCCCCGTGACGCTCACGGCAGCCCACAAACGCTACTCGAGTCTGCAAGTCGACCGCCGCTTTCTGGCCGAGTTTGAACACGTCAACTACTGGCTCGCGGACGCAACGGCGCTCGAGGCCTTTCTCTTGCAGCCCGCCAAGTACCTGGAGAGCCGCGTGCTCCTCCAGCAAGCCAAACTGCCAATAGACATGGCTATGGGCAGCAACCTCACAACTGGCGCGCCGCCCCGCCTCGGGTTTCAAGGCTACTGTGCAGTGACCTACGCGGACGGCGCCGGGCCCGCCGACTGGTCGTCGATTCGAAAAGGCTCCAAGTTTATCGTGGCGGCGTTTGATGGCACCGTCTACGCGTTCACGTCGGTCGCTATGAAAAGCCGCTTCCTGCGCGCACCGCTGGTGTACACAGCACTGACGTTGCCGACAAAGCTGCCGCCCATCGTCGACGAGAACGCGCGGCACCTCAATGTGACGATGCCAGGGAAGCTCGAGCAGGCCTTGAGTCACATCACCGAAGAGGCACTCGTGGCGCTGGGCCACGAGCGCTTCAAGTTCCCCGGCGTCTCGGTGCGCGCGTCTGCGATTCAATTTGTCGCGCTCTTTCTCAAATCGAAGAAGAAAGCCACGAACCAGGCCAGCCAGCTCCCGGCGGACGTCGCCGCGCTCCTCCAGCAGTACATCAATGACTGCCGCCTCGGCAGCGACATCAAGGAGATGGCCATGCCCGTCGGGTCGGCGGTCAAAGGCGTCCGAAGCGTCCGCAGCAAGGACGGCGACGACGTGAGTGCCAAGTTCGCGCGCTTTGATGCAATTCTCATGTCACCAAGCGCACATTTCCGCGCGTATGCGACCAACGGCCTCCTCAAGTAGCACAAAACCACGCTGCGAATACAGATAGATGGCTTGCGTCGACAAGTGCTCCTTCTTTTGCGGGTCGTGTAGGGTGGCAAAGCAGAGTGTTCTACTGTTCTGATTGCTAAGGCTCCATCCCACTGCCGTGCAGCCTGCACCGTCTCGTCGTATGTACTTGTAGTCGTGTTGTGGTTGTTGTTCGGGACGACTCGACGTTCCCGCGTCGCTCAGTCAGCTGTACAACGAGCGCTTTTGTGTTGCAGTGTAGCATATTTATGGCGCCAACTCGAAGAGTCAAGTCGATTGACGGTAAGGTTTGACAGCCGCCCACATGAATGGTGCAAGGAGGCTGCTGCAATCCGGTGGGGACCGGATTTTTAGCACCAAGACCGAGGGGAATTGAGTGGTGCGTAGGTCCGCCACGTCGACTCCATGTTGAAGTTGCGACTTCAACTTTGCAACGAACGCCATCATTTGCGGCCAGTATACTTGGGTGCTGCGGCCAAGTTCTTATTGTCTGATCCCGATCGTGTCGATGGCGCGACCGCGGATGCCCCCGTTGACGACGCAACCGCTGCGGTACCGCGTCGTCGTATCATGCAGCGTCCCATCATGGCCGGCGCATTGGGCACGTCGGCTGGAGGAAATACCGAGCGTTGACGTAGCAAGACCGGCACGACCGAGAAAGCCTCGTTTGACGAAACACGCAGCCTTGAAGCTGTGCTTGAATTGCAGCTTGAAGGAGCCAAGCCACCTAGCTGCCATACAAAGCGCGAGATGATCGCGAAATAGACGGGTCGTGTTGGTCACGAAAAAGCTGCGCCGGACCTCGAATGGGTGGCTGGGACAAGCTGGCTGCCGACCTGGGTCTGCTTCAGAAAAGCTGGTCGGGCATGAATCGAGTAATGGATTCTTTGGTTTTGCCTACAAATATCAAGTACAAAACGAATATCCAGTAATGAGCGGCATGCCAGATGGCGTCTGGCGCCTGTGGCGGCTGGTGCGTGTGTCACCCTCGTCGCTCGACCATGTGGCGCGCCATAGCAACTTCAACGTGCCCAGCTGGTGCATGAAAAACGAATTAAATTACACGTTGCGCGCCAAAGCTTGATCACATCAAACGTAGACGGTGGGTTTGACTTGACGTCTTTTGCTAACGCTGGCCGCTCCTTCTCACTTTTCGTTTTGCGGTCTTGCGCCCAGTACTACTACAGTCAGAAATGGCGGGTGCAGTCGCGATTCCCATGGGTGCCTACGACAACAGCGTCCAGACCGAGGGCTCCAAGGTCTACGCGATCGTTGTCTGCGTCTTTGCGTCGCTCGGTGGCATCTTCTTTGGCTATGACCAAGGCGTCACCGGCGGTGTCCTTGTCATGGACTCGTTCCTCAACGACTTTTGCATCGGCTACGACGGCAACTCGGAGGCCGCGTGCAAGGCCAACTCGTCGTTTCT